TAATTTGTGCTGGGGGAGGTTCAGGTTGGATGTTAGCTAACATTTTTTTTTTCCTCAGAAGAGTGGTAATGCACTGCATCAGGTCTTCCCAGGGAGTGGTGGGATCACCATCCTTGGAGGTGTTCCATAACTGTGGAGATGTGGCACTGAATGATGTGGTCAGTGAACGTGGTGGGATGGGTTGGGGTTGGACGTGGGGATCTTAGGTCTTTTCCAACCTTAATGATGCAATGATTGTTTGCTTCAGAGGGGTGTTGCTCTCGCTTACCTAAGTTCTCTCTGATCACTGAGTTGACAATGAATTAAAATACATTCCTTCAGCTGGAACGGGAAATGCGAAGCATTGGCAAGAGCATGTCATGGCTGCACCACTTTGGGGAGGCTGAGCCCATATCTCAGCATGGTGCTGGGCCCTGGAGCAGGGTTAGGGTTTTTGCACAGCCACTGTGTGTGTGCAGCCAGCAGCTTGTAGGCACTCGAGCACTTTGCATGGGTGTTTGGCAGATGCTGAAGCATTTATTGGACTCAGACCCCTTTCCCTGCAGATCATAGTGGTTCAACATCTCATGAAGCTGCACAGGACAGCAGAAATGTTCGTTATCTCCTTAGGATGGGAAGAAATCAACTGCTAAGCCCAGGAAGGTCAGCACAGAAGTCCTTATCTCCCTTCCCACAAATAAGGATCATGAGTAAAGCACTCAAACATAGTCAGCATCATGAGATGAAGTTAAAAAAAATTATGAGCCAGCGTTGTTGTCTATAAATAAATAACATGTTCTGGAGTTTCATTCTCAGCCTTGTGGTTTTGGGTCTTTAGAATTTTGTATTTTGTGTTGGTTTTTTTTTCTCTGCATTGAGAAAGGCAAGAAACATATTGTTCTTCTTTTTTTTTTTTTTGAGTTCAATTGACAATCTTCCACAATCATTGGATTCCAGGAATTGAAGCTTTAAGCCCCCCCCTTCCCTGCCTTCTCTTCCTCCCCCCAAGAACTATCTTGAGCCGAGTGATAAAATCCCTGCTTTAGCCAACTTTGGGTGGGGTATCTACAAGGAAGGTGTTGCTGACATTTCACGAGGCCACATGTTAATTGCTTTCTATCTCTCTCTAAAAGTTCCTTCTGGTCAGTGTAGTAGGAAACATTTAAGCAGTGTTATTTTATAGGACTTGATGTGCTATTTCTCTGCTGAGGTGGCTGCATTTCCAGGCATGGAGGGCTGCTCTCTGCCAAAACCGTGTGTGCATCCAGTGCTCCTTGGAACCTCTTCGGGCAGAATATATCTTAGTATTGTTCCAAAGGCAGCATCCATGTATGATTGTGCTGAGGACACTGGTGGAAAGGAGGGAGGACATGAGAACATGGGAGCACATGAAGGAGCACTGCAGGGAATGCTTATTGCTGCACAAACCAACCTCCTGGGTATATGGGGGGCAGTGCCAGGGCAGAGCTGCCTCATGGCATTCCAGCTTGGAATTCAGAACTACTTGTTGGTCTCATTTTTCCTTAGAGGCTCCCAAAGGGCCCCATTGGCACTATTGGGTGCAGCTCCATCGTTGTCAGAGGAGATGCTGCTTGCTGTGACCCTCATCCCAAATATTGTGTATGGATGGTCCTGTGCCCACCTCACCCACAGCTGCCATGGGTATTTGTTGTATTTGTTGGACACGGTGAGCAGGAGCCACAGATCTCTGCGCTCTCATCTCTTAATTATTAATTTCTACAAATAAAGGGGAAAAATTACCAGCACACTTATGCAGGGCTGTTAACTGCTCTGAGAGCATTGTGCCACAGAGAGGCTGGGTGGTCAAATGGTTGAGAAAAACGGGGGTGACCATCATCTCCCACTTTTGCAATCTGCCTGAATTGCTGCGGCTCTGCTGGTTGAGATGCTTCACCCCATCAATATCTGTTTGCCATCACAAAAGCAGAGCTGTCAGTGCTTCAAGAGTGATCTTTTGGATGTTAATGGCAAAGCCCTCTGAGATCAGATGCTGAGTGGAAATGGAGAGGGGCAGAGGGCTGTGTGCTGCTGGGGCTGCCGGCTGCCACCAGAGCTGAAGTTGTTGGTGCCCATTCCAGAACAGCTCTCCTTGAGGGTGAATCATAAAATCGTTTGAGTTGGAGGAGACCTTAAAGGCCATCTAGTCCAACTCCCTGCACCAAACAGGTGCTCAGAGCCCTGTCCAGCCTGACCTGCAAGGATGGGGCACCACCATCTCTGGGCAGCCTGAGCCACTGCCTCACCAGCAAAAGGAATGGAGCACAAAGCCATTCTTCTGGGAACTCTGAGAGAACTGGTTTCATGTGAGTTAAAGCATTCTCTTTTGACCGGGTCAAAATCACTTTGCTTCTGATGATTTCCCATTTAAGCATGTCTTTTTCATTATTATTTTTTTTTCCCAATCTCATCAGATGAAACGAAGGCCGTGTGCGTGGATCAGTTTTTTAATCCAGCCTGGACCATTATGGATGCTGTCACTCTTTGCTCTGTTGGTGTTGGCAGAGGGCAGAAGCACAGCCCAAAGGGGTCCTTCCCCCCAGCAGATGGGGGATGCACTGTGACCCCTGCCAGGCAGCCACGTCCCTCCTGACCCACGGGTGGTGGAATAGGTGATGTGGGCACTAATTGCTGACTATTACCATTGTTTTCATCAAAGTCTGCTGTTTTCAAGGGAAGTGCTCTGGCACCGATTACCTCTCAGATAATGGAGCCTTCTTGATGAAGCTGCCGCGGGCAGAGCAGAGGTTGCACATTAGCTGTGCTCACCCGTTTATAAAGGAAAACACAACCAGCACAGCTAAGCCAGTGACCCAGCATGAGGACAGAGGTCATCTCACAGCAGAAACCCACCTGTTGAGCCCCCTGAGAGCTTGCCATGCTTGCAGTGGCTTGCCCCTAACTACAAGAAAGACACTGAGGCTTGGAGTGTGTCCAGAGACAGACAACAAGGCTGTGAGAGGGCTGGAGCAGAAGTGTGATGGGGAGCAGCTGAGGAAGCTCAGATGGGTCAGTCTGGAGAAAAGGAGGCTCTGGAGAGACTGTATCACTCTCTGCATCTCCTGAAAGGAGGTTGTGGTGAGGTGGGCTCAACCTCTGCATTTAGTAACAGCAATAGGATGAGAGGCAGTGGCCTCACGTTATTCCAGGGGAGGTTCAGGTTGGGTATTAGTGAACATTTCTTCTCTCATAAAATGGTAATGCACTGGGACAGGCTGCCCAGGGAGTGGTGCACTCACTGTCCCTGGAGGTGTTCCACAACCTTGGAGATAGGCATTATTGACCATGGTGGGATGGGGTTGGACTCGGTGATCTTAGGTCTTTTCCAACCTTAATGATTCTATTCTTCTAAGAAGAGCAATGCCTGCTGAAGGGTGGCTGGAGGGGCTGCAGGACTCCTGGGGTGCCCTTCTTGACGCTGCCTGCTCCAATTACTGCTGTTTTATGGACCCAGTGAGAGCAACCTGTGCTGCCTATCTGCCCACAGGAGACTCCTTGCTCAGTAGAACAAGCGGAGATGGCAGCTCTGCAGAGCCTGGCAGTCACACTTTTGACCTGAATTTGAATTCCCCTATTGCTCTGCTGCTGTCCCTTAATTATAGCGGGAGAACAGCCTGTGTGTGGTACTTGTGAAGTTGCACAGCACGGACATCCTTCCTGAGATGCTCCCACTCTGAGCAATGTTCCCTCTAAATTAAGGAAAATGATGTCATGCTAAAGAATTAAATAGCATCTCCTGCCTGCCCCAGCTTTGTCCCTGTGCACAAGTGGGTTCCTTGGCAGTCTGCTGGCATCCTTTCAGTCAGCAAATATTGTTACAGAGCTAATGCTAATTGCTTGGAGAGAGCATGTCCTGTGTTGGGAATTGCTACCATGCCGATGTCAGCTCTTATCAGCTACTGGTGGGATGTAGGAGCAGCACAAGGATTGGGAGTGAGGAGGAGGCAGGCATTACTGTTGTCCCTGATGAGGATGCTGAGAGTTAGGACCACTCCTTAAGTAAAGGTGCCTTAGGGTTTCAATCCCGTTTCAGCTTACAGCTTCAGGGCTGCATTGTTTCAGGGACCTCTGTGCCCAGCTCCTGCCCTGTGTCAAAGGCAGCTTTTGTTTCCACGCTGGGCTTGGGCTGGGTAAATACCAGCCTATCCCTTCTGGAAGAGTGGACAAAAGTTATTGCCCCCACTGCAAAGAAGCATTTTCATTTTGGAGCTTTGATGTTGTGAGCACAGCTCTGAGCTCCGCATCACAGGACATCCATGCAGCCACAGCCTATTTATGCAGAGCTCCATCCAGCACAAAGGCTGTATTTTACTGTCAGATGCTCTCCATTAGCTTCAAGTGTGAAATTATCATTCCCACCCTTTTACCAGCCACACCCTGGTGAGGAAATGATCTAGAAAACAACCTCAAGGGCCTTTTGCAGGATGTGTGCGAGCTGTCCCTTGTCAGTTCAGATCCTACTTAGGGCAGAATTACTGCAGGGAAGTGCAAGCACTGCAGTGTTACTGCATTGCATGGCACCTCGTGCAGAGGTGTGTGCATCCTTCTCCAGCTCATGCAGCTGCATGCAGCCCACCCTTGGTGCATAGGGATGCTGTGACCTACCCCCTTGGCTCCTCTTCCTGTCTGCTTTCTTTTTCAGAGAGAGTGGTGAGGTGCTGGAACAGCTGCCCAGAGAGGTTGTGGATGCCCCATCCCTGGAAGTGTTCAAGGCCAGATTGGATGGGGCCCTGGGCAGCCTGGTCTAGCATTAAATGAGGAGGTTGGTGGCCCTGCCTGTGGTGGGGGTTGGAGATTCGTGATCCTTGAGGTCCCTTCCAACCCTGGCTATTCTGTGATTCTTGTTCTTAGCCAGAGACATCTTGCATCCCCTTGATATTCCAGAAGTGACTGATGGGAGCCAGGACCACATTTTTCACTTCTCAGGAAGTCAGCTCCCATAACAATCCAGCGGTGTCAGACCAAGAGATAAAGACATTTTGCTTTCCTTTCATGCCTTCCAGGTTCACTCTGTATGCGGTGGACACACGAGGGAGACACTCTGAGCTGAGCACGGTCACCCTGAGGACAGCCTGCCCACTGGTAGATGACAGCAAGGCAGAAGGTCAGTCTTCAGGCACCTCATTTCCCAATACCAAAACCATTTCCTGTTAATTTTGCTTTTCCTCTATCCATTGCACACCTGCAACCCTCTGCAGTCTCCTCTTCCACACCACAAGCTTCTGTAAATGAGCCCTGGGCATGGGGATATGGAGCTGGGATGGATGGTAAATTGCAAGCATCTTGTAGTGGAGGCTCTATGGTCCTGTGCAGCTCAGTGCTATCATGTCTGTTCCCCTGCATGACTCTGGGGACCTGCCAACAAACATCTTATGGAAAAGGGTGGTTGCTACCTGCAAAGCAAGGGGTGGCCCTGATTGGGACCCAGCCCTGAGTCTTCAGTGGGACAGCAGTAACAGCTGTGCTGGCTCTGAAATGGCAACATCAACCACTTTCATAGTTTCGTTCTCCAGTTTTGAAACCGGTCGGTCAAATTTGTTCTCTCCTTCCCAAAGTGTTTTGCTGTTTTTAAGTTTGAAAATATTTGTCTAACAAAGAAAAGAAGGCATGCTACCTATTTCCTTTCTTTCTACTTTGGGAAACAAACAAAATAAAGTTTTGATTAATGCTTTGTTTGGAGTTATTGATAAGCATTTCCAAAAAATGAACAACAGAAGAAACAAGAGCAAATGAGAGGCTTTAGAGAAAAGGAAAGAAGTAGTTTTCTACATTTTTCATTTCTAAAAAGATACTCTTTTTTACAACAAAAAAATGCATCTTCTCGTTCAATAAATCAAGCTTCATTTGCAGCTATCCCAGCACCTCCTGCCAGCCTTGCTCACAGTTCTCTGCTTGTTCCTTTTCCCCGCTGTATTGCTATAATGGGATAGAAAGCACCATGGTAATGGCAAGATGGTAAAGTCTTCAGCCATAGCAAACAAGAATGAGCCCAAATGCAGCAGTCTCAGAAATGAAAGAAAATAACTACTTACCTTTGATAGGCCTCAGGTAGTCAGGGATACCCAGCAAGAGATGTCCTCACCTCCACTACCAACCCTTAAAGGAGGTCGTAGAAGGAATAGACCCTGCCTCCACCCCCTCCATGGCGTGCACCTGAGCTCCCCTGGGTTGGCCCTGCCTTCCCACCAGGTGCTCAATCACTGTTTCAGGCTGTAACTTAGCATTCCCACTACACCTGTGCTCATTAAATCTTGTCCCTTGCTCTCTTCCAGAGATAGCTGACAAAATCTACAACCTCTACAATGGCTACACCAGTGGGAAGGAGCAGCAGACAGCCTACAACACGCTGATGGAGGTCTCTGCTTCCATGCTGTTCCGAGTCCAGCACCACTACAACTCCCACTATGAGAAGTTTGGAGACTTTGTCTGGCGTAGTGAGGACGAGCTGGGGCCCAGGTACCCACCTTTATCCTGCATCCTCCCAGCCCTGCTGCCTTCTCACAGCTGAGAGAAGTTCTCTCCTGTTATTTGCCATCCAATGGTGTTGACCAGTCCCTGCTTGGTCTTTGATAAATGCTTGTGGGACAGCTGAAGTGGGTGGTGCTGCAGGGTACTGGGAACACTGTGGAGGAGACCAGAAGGTCTTAATCAAGGACAGTGCATGGTCTGTGTGTAAGCCAGCACTTGGATGTTATCAGAGAGGATCAACAACGAAGCAAAATTCTAAGGAGTAAAATTGTCTCTACTACGTAGTATTTTTCATGGACTTTCCCTTCTGCTGATTTCTCTCTCTATTGGACCTGGCACATCTTCATCCTTGCTGTGCCATATGGTTGCTGTACAAGCTGTAAATATTTCCAAAGATCCCTTTTCCATCTTCACTCTCCCATAACAATAATTCAATTCATTGATGCAGGTGCTAAGAAGATTGTCCTTAATTTCATTGCTGTGGTGTCCCTGGTATCATGCAAGCAGTGTTTGGGAGGTCATAGCCCTGTGGACAAGTTACAATCTCTTACAGAATTCAAGTAGCCTTGAAGCTTTTGTAGACACTGCTCTTGAATCACCCTTATCTAACTTTGGATGGGAGCCTAGGGAGTCTGATCTGGTGCTGAATTTAGTGGTTGGCAACTACTGGAACTAGGTCCCTTCCAACCCAAGCCATTATATGATTCTTTGTTGTTAAACTGGAGCAGGGAAGGATGGAGGAGCATGGTTGGGCTGTCTGTGAATAAGAATTTCCTTCTTTCTCCTCGACTCCTGTCTGCTTGTTGGACACGAGCGAGGATCTGTCCATAATACCAGGATGACAGCACTTCACAACAGCTTCTCCTCTCCCAGACATAAATCCAGGCTGGCCTGGTGCTTGCCCTCCCACAGAAACGACCTTGGTCATAATTTCTTTGATAGTTCATTAGCGCCTGACGCTGAGCCATTCTTCCTTCCCACCGCCTTCCTCCTTCTCTGATGACACTGCAGACTTGTTTGTCCTTTCCAACTGCTCCTCTCTCTCTGAGCCCCTGGGGTCCATCAGCCTCTTCTTACACTCTTCTTACTCTTCTTATTTCCCTTGTCACTTGAGATCCAACTTATTGCAGCATGTTAGCTACCCTGATACCTGCACTGAGCCGCCAGATTTGCAAGGTGACATTTAAATAACCCGCATTGTTACACTCCATACCAAGCTTCATCTGGAGCCAGTGGTCGATTCGGCTGCTGTCTGCCTTCCTCGCCAGGCAGATGATCCCTTGCAGAGCTCATGTGCCCCCACTCCATGATTGAGCAGTGTGTGACCTGCAGCCAAGGGGAAATGCAGCAGCACTCGATGCCAGACTGACAAGAGCAGAGCTCTGCATCCCGCCCAGCATCGCCGGGAGCTGGGACAGAAGCGGAGGCACTGACGTAGGGAGGATTTGCCAAGGGAGGCCATCTCGTAACGCGATTTTAATTGACGGGCTGTTCTCCTTCCCAGAGGAACATTCATTTTCATACCTTGAAATGTTTATCAGATGAGCCTCAGATTCGCAGTAAATGTTCGCTCATAAAACTGAGCGACAAGAGGGAAGTTGATTGCCTCCGTGTAATAAATACATCACACTGGAGTCCTCGTGAGCCCAGTTTCCATGAAAGCCACAGGTTACTGCAAACAGCTGCTCGCGAGAAGACACGCTGACAGCCAGATGTCCCAACCAGACGGTTTACATTAAGGAGACATTAAAAACTTAGCTCATAGGTGGCCCTAAACCAGGACTTTCTGTGGTCAGCAGCATCTTGGCACCTGGCTTGCTTCATCCTGCTCGTCTCCTTCAGCAACAACAACCCCTTTCCTGCTCCCCCCATTCCTCCTACAAACACCAAATGAGTCTCGCAGAGTTAATTTGTTCCAACAAAACAGAAGAATCTGTCTAAAGCAGTGAAGGTTTAATGCTACTGTGTGTTCAGACCTTTGGATCGGTGCAGCAAGAGCGCTTCCTGACATGGCAACAGGGAGATTTCTTTATTATTTTCTCATACTGTATTTTTGGACAGTCCCTGTGACCACTGCAAACAGAGCCTGGCTTTTAGGAGGAGGCGGGAGAAAGAATTAGGTTAAAATCTTCCTTCTGTGCCCCAGCCTGCGGCTACCAGGAACAGCAAGGTCAGGATGTGGGGCTCACAGCTCTCCTTCCCTCAGGCAGGTCCCCAGGCAGCAGCCGGGGCGGCCTCATGAGATCAGTGCATCCCCAGAGCAGCTGCCTTCTGGTACTGAGGGGAATGCAATGTACTGATGGGAGGCTGTGATAAGAGGCCATCGAGTCCCGGACTCATTATCCTCTCAGATGAGGGTCTGACAGACCTGGGTCAGTTCTCAGTAGAGTGGAAAAATCTGAATCGATGACAAAATCGTCCCATATGGGAACAGACAGGCAGCCAGCCTCTCCTGCAGCAGACCAAGGAAGCTTGTCCTCCCTCTCACTTGGCACCTTCCTTGGCAGTCCCCCCTTCCCCTCCTCACCCCACACCAAGAGGGGAGCAGCCATGCAAGGTCATCACTATTTGAATCCCTCTCTCCACCATTTATGATGTGGGTGATGACCTCCTAAATCCATCACTCAAGAACTGGTCCCCGGGGACACCCAGAGTGGGGACACCCTGCAGTGGAGCTGGGCTACGGGGGAGCAAAAAGGGGCTGCTTCATCCCTTGGAGGGCTGGGAGCTGGCCGTGAAAATGACCCCCGCCTCGCTCCCCTGCTGTCCTCTCTTGATTCCTGCCCTTTAATAAGGTAATAAATTATTGTTTCTGGCAGGGATGAGGTTGGTCAGCATTTAGGAAGATTTCATTTCCAGTATTTGAAAAGGTGGTCGTTCTGACCCGACAGCCCTCCGCAGGGAGCACTTGGGTAATACCCAGGGCTTGATTTATGGTGTTAAATTGGCAGCCCAAGAGCTGCTCCTGTAATTTATTACCCAGCCTTCACCAGAAAGCTTCTCTCCCTTTCTCACCCCTCCCCTCACCCGCTCTGTCTCTCTTGCTCCTTATTTTTTTTTAGAGGGAACAGCTGACAGCCAAAAGCTAAATCTAATATTTACACATGACTTCATTACCCCACTAAAATAAGTGACTCAGTCTCGAAGCAGTGAAACCCATCAAAACTGGGGTTTTGGTACGGGAAACCAAAAGTGAGGGACCTGATTCCCTCCCCCCCATCACCTGGACCACGGTGCTGTGCTTTTTCAGCATCCTTGTAGAGTCAGCTCATCGTGTGCTGCATCCCTTTCTTGGGGCTGATTGCACCGAACACAACTGCAGATGCTGCAGATGTGGAGACCACCAACCCAAGAAGCATTGTCTGCAGCAAATGAGAGACCAGCAGGTCTGCATGGTTCAGCCCTGGGCTTCTTGCTGCTCTTTGTTGAGCTGTAGATGTAGATGTTCCTGCTCCTTGCAGGGGAGTTGGATCAGATGACCTCTGAAGATTCTTTCCAACTCAAACCATTCTGTGATTCACAAACGAGAGTGTTTGGCCAAGAGACCCGTATGTCTATCAGGAAATAAGGCAACCTGGTCAGTTCTAGCAAAATCCAGGTGATCCTGGGGGGGTGGAACATGTGTAGTGAAAATGGGAGTGTAGGGAAGACTAAGGGAGATGGAGGGAAATGGTCAGGTTATGCAGGAGGGAAGTGAGAGATGGGCTGAGAGGGATGTGCAGGGGAGGAGACAGACAGGTGGTGAGATGGGAGGGGAAAAAGGGAAGAGCTTGGCCAACAGATGTGTGTGAGCATGTGCTGGGGTGCCCATCCCTCAACCTGACTGGGAGCAAGTCACCTACCACTGGGATATGCCTCAGAGACTGGCCACATCCACTTGGTGCTGCTCTCCTCTTGTGCAAGCCTGGGAACGCCTCCTAGTGAGCTGGACTGGGAACCAGTTTGGGAGAAAACCCATTGGATGCTTGATTGCCCTTCGGGTGGGCAACTTCTCCATGTCAGTGCATCCCCTTCATCTCAGTGGACACTTGCACCAGCACAAGCCAATGGATAGGGATAAGCTGGGAAAGGAGCAGAACCTACTTTTGGCAATAGAGACGATTTATGGTAAATAAGGGTCACCATAGAGCTATGGCCCTGGAAAGATGGTAGTTATCCCAGTGAGAGAGAGGCAGGTCTGGTTCAGTGCTCTGCTCCCCAGCACGGTCTGCTTACAGGAATGTCCATCTCACATGGTGTATGTGGGCTCTACGTTTGGCCACCTCCCCTTCAAGAAAGAGCAGATGTTAGGAAACAATTTCTCACCATTAAGATGGGTAAACTGAAGGACTGCTTGTGGAAACAAACTGTGCTCTGCCTTTGACTGAAGAGCAGGTTGGACATATTCATCAGAGCAGGCTGATTGCAAGGTACACAGATGATCCTTTTTGGTCCCTTCTACCAGCAGTGAGTGTGATTGGGTGAGATCTGTTGGCCTCATTGTAGCACCAGGCACTATAGATCTTGGTTTGCTGCTGAGCCGAGCTTTAATCCATGAGTCTTTGCTGAGAGCATCTGATTCCACCGTGGAATTTCACACGTGTGAACTGGGGGATGAGTGGCAGCCGGCAGGAGGTGCCGATGTGCCCCTGTGCCTCATCTGCCCTCCTTCCCCACATCCCATACTGGGTGCTGCTGGTGCTGCTCCTCGCTAGGAGCTCACAGCCCAGGCTGCAACGCCGCTCAGCTTCCATAATCAAATAATCCCCATGTTTATGCCTCACTGACTGACAGCGCTGCCTCTGACATATCATTATCAGGAATTTACATTCCTCCAGGAACTGTGAAATCCCCTAACCCCAAATCCAGAGCTTTCCTGTGGCACCAGAGGGAGAGGAAATAATCTGTGATCTTGAGACTTTCAGACCACTGAAGTAAACCCTCTTCCCCTCCCTTTGTTTGATTTAGCACTTTGCAGACTCCCACAAGGGGATTCTTGGTTTCTAACGGGTTTATTTTGTTTTGTCTTAACGTGTTGTGCTTTTTCTCCTCACTCTTCTAGTGGCAGTTCTTTCGGGCCATTTGCCTCCTGGAGAGTTAGGGAAACAGAGCAGGGAGGGCTGCAATTGTGGGCTGGCAGTACTGGGGGTCCCCATGATGTGCTGTGGAACATGTGGCACTCTGGTGACCACCTGGCACAGTTCTCAGGGCACCCAAGCTGCTCTGCTGCTCAGGCCTGAGGTCCCTCCAGCCCCATGCATGGATGTGCTATGAACTTTGGCACAAAACAGAGCTGCTCTCCACCTAAGACAGGCAAGGCGATGTCTCAGGCCGTGGTTCTCATGTGTTGAACCTCATGAGGCTCAACAAGGCCAAGTGCAGGGTATTGTGCTTGAGTTGGTGTAATCCCAGGTATATGTACAGACTGAGAGGAGAACTCACTGAGAGCAGCCCCACGGAGGAGGGTTTGGTGTATAAAAGCTGGGCATGAGTCAGCCATGAAGATGATTGGAAGTTGGAGCTCCTCTGTTATGCAGACAGACTGAGAGCTGGCGGTGTTCAGCCTGGAGAAGGCTCTGGGCAGACCTCACTGCAGCCTTCTTAAAGGGAGCAGTGACTTTATGTATGGGCAGATAATGATGGGACAAAAGAGGGAAAGGTTTTAAACTAAAAGAGAGCAGATTTAGGTCAGATGTGAGCAGGAAATTCTTTACCCAGAGGTCAGTGAGGCACTGCTGCCTAGAGATGTGTGAGTGCCCATCCCTGGAGGTGCCCAAGGCCATGGATGGTGCCCTGGGCAGCCTGAGCTGGGGGGACTGCCAGCCCACAGCAGTGGAGTGGGGCTGGGGGGGTAAGGTCCCTTTCAACCCAACCGTTCTGTGGTTCCATGATTCTTGCCATGAGACAGAACCAGTGATGGGAACTAGGTGTGCCCTCTGCCTCTATTTCTGGTTCTTCCCTCCAGGAAGGCACACCTGATCCTGCGGAGGCTGGAGAAAGTCAGCAGTCACTGCTCAACACTGCTCCGCAGCTCCTACATCCAGAGCCGCACCGAGACCATGCCCTACCTGTTCTGCCGCAGCGAGGAGGTCCGGCCTCCTGGCATGGTGTGGTACAGCATCCTAAAGGACACCAAAGTCACGTGCGAGGAGAAGATGGTCTCCATGCTGCGCAACACCTACGGGGAGTCCAAGGGGCGGTGAGGGACGGTGCCGGCCTGGAGCTGTGGGAGGCAGAGGGACTCCGAGGAGTCGAGGACTCGTGATGCGCTGAGTGCTGCTGGGGTTGGGGGACGGGAGGTGTTCAGAGGGGTGAAAGGGGACAGCGAGGCCAAGCAGGACTTTCTCACATCAATGGCAGAGAAATGCCAAATCTGCAAGTTGGACTTTAATTTCCTTTCCTTTCGTTTTTTAATTTTTCCAGAGGAAAAAAAACAAAAAAAAACAAAAAAAAACCTACAACAAAAACCAACCAACCAACAAAAACCCAACACCTGATTTGACTCAGCGTAAAAGTCTCTCCTTTTTAATCTTTTCTTACTGGATTTCCTGGACTACACACTCCAAAACGCTGGGAGGAGGCGATGCCTGCTGGAGGCGAGAGTCAGAGCAGGAGAACTGCTGGGCCTGGGGATCCCCTGCCCACCCGGAGCTGTGGGGCCAGGAATTTGGTGCCACGTTGGCCGAGGACGCCAGGAGCATCCCAGCTGTGAGTGCGTGGCCCAGAGGTGGATGCCAGGCAGGTGCCAGGACGTTGCGGACACGCTGGGGGTTTTTTACCACTCCAAGGTAGCAGAATGGCTCCGTGCCTTCGTTCGCAAGGCTCCCGGCAGCTCGTTCTGTGCATTAAAGGTTCATATTAAGTCCATCTTCGTGCTTCCTTTGGTGTTTCTTCCTGATGCTGTCTCGCTGCTGTTTCAGCTGGGAAGAGAGGACTTCCCCAAGGCCCACCCCAATGACCAGAGACCGGCGCTGACCCTGAGAGCAGGCACTGGGAGAGGAGGGGAAAGTGCAGCCTCTGTGTAGGGTCCTGGCCCTGCCCAGCACCCATCCCAGCCCCTCTGGGAGCTTCAGATATGTGGGAAAGCCCAAGAAGGAAGCCAGGGGCTAAAAAGACATGGAGAATCTGGTTTCTTTTACTGTCAGATGTGGGTTAGGCTGGCCTGGGATCTGTGTGGGTAATGGATTTTTCAGTCTGGTCGCCAAACCAATAAGTGCAGGAGGGTGAGAGGAAAAAAAACAACAAAAATCAGAGCAGCCCAAAGCTATTGCTTTTTCTTTCTTAAAGCAAAACAACAAACCTGGAGGGGGGATGGAGGGGGAAAAGGAAACACTGTGGGCTGAATGAATCAGTTCAGTCAGCCCAAAGCAAACAGTGCTGTTTGTTTTTTTTCCAGGTTATTTAACCCTTTAAAGTAAAAGAAAACAAGCAGGAGGTGAGTTTCAAAATGGACATGTTTTGAAACCAAACAAAGGTGCAGGATTTGATGTGGAGGAAGTTCAGCCAGACTCATCCTTCTTGAGATAGACCTCTTTGCCTGCTTTGGCTAATTGTGGTCGTGTCTCCCACATTGCTCTTGTTTTTCCCTTTTTCCCTTGGTCCTGTCTCTTCATTTGTCTTGACCCACGTGGATGCTGCAGGTTGGGGAGCCCTCCAGCACCTGGTCACTGTCCTGCTGGAGCTCACGGGGAAGCCTTTGGAACAAGAGCACCACAGGTTGCTTGGGAGCCCTTTTTTTTTTTAGCTAAAATCCCTTTTCCTGATTTGGTGTTTCTGGGGATGGAGGGGACAACCTCAGCTTGCTGCAGCTCAGTGCACACTTTGCATTTCCTTGCCTGGGTCTGATGAGCCCCAGTGCAGCTCGGTGCCATCCTGCCTCTAAGTGCGACTGTTGGCCTCATGAGTCAGCTCCCAAATCTTGCACCTCTGGAAGTGGGCAGCTCTGCTCGGAGATGAGGTGTTGCAGCATTATTTGCTCAGCTCGGCTATTGTGTGAAGCAACACAAAGCAAAAACCCTCAGACTGCAAATGTGCTGATGTCCCAGGCTGATGGACATGATGACACTGCTGGCATTTTCCGTGATGCCAATGACACAGCAGATGGGGGTATTATGGTGGTTACAGGACTAACGCTATTATGGGATGCCTGACTGCCACGAGTGCAGTGCTGTAGGAACTGGGAATGGGGACCACACGCCAAAGCCCACTCACATCCTTGGTGATGCTGGTGGCAGCACGGGGGGAATGCAGCAGGCAGATGTGCTGGGACAGAGTGGCAGAGAGCATTTGGCAGCTGTTCAGCTGTCGAGGAGCACACTGAGCTCTCATCTGAGTGCCAGCCTCAGGCAGACTGTGGCCATGGATGCTGCCCGGCACGGCCAACCCAAGCCAAACAAACCCGAGGAATTCGTCGAGGTTACACATGCTTGGGCTCGCAGCTGAAAGGAAGGCTCTGTGTTTTCTAGCTGGAAATTTTGGAGAATATAACCATCAGGCTTTCAAGATAAACAGTTGCAGTCACAGCCCAGCAATGCTGGCTCATGGGCTCGCGCTCTGCCGCATGCGTGCCCGCATGCAGTGTGCGCTGCAGCCACCCCACTGGGTGCACTGGAGGGAAGGAGCAGCACGAGGGGCTTCCTCTGCAGGCATTGCTCACCCAGCACCTTCCATGTGCTCACACTCCTGTCACACCCATCCACGCCAGCCCAGTTTTTTGGGTTTTTTTTCCTTTTTTTATGAACACCTCTCGTCTAACAAAGGGACGTGGGCTCCAGCTGAGATGGGAAGCTTGCATGCTTCTTAAAAACAAATGTACAACTGGGAGGCAGGAGGTAGCTTCCATAAGGTAAGCTGGTAGGAATTATCTTTGTAGGAAGGGGGTGAGGGTGGCTGTTGGCATCAGTTCTACGTTCACTGTAAGTAAAATGATCATAAGGCTGCAGGTAGCTGACTGCTGGTGACAGACTTGGTATCTACAAAAAAACAAAACAAAAAAATCCCCTATTTTATGTAAGCTTTTTAACCACGGATGGTCCTCACTAGGCCTGAGTCGCCTGGAAGATCATCAAAACCTTCAGAACTGTTTTGACACGTTACTGCCTCTCATGAGTGTAACATTTTTAGGACCCTTTGGCTGCGTTTTATCAGCAAACTTTTGGGCCAGGGGGTGACGTGGAAGAGGCCTGGGAGCAGCTCACCTCCCTGCACTGTGCCCTAGGGCATGGCACCCAAGGAGGTGCACTGGGCAGCACAGGGAGGTGTGGATAGGCACCCATCCACCAGCATGCACAGCTGGATGCTCATTGATCTTCAGGTGCCTTCACTACATGGGAGGGGTGAGCAGCTTTCCTTACACTCCAGTTTCTGGAAGCCTTTCTTGAAGTCTCTACATCCTTTTGTCCAAATTGCTTCACGTTGCCAACAGCTGCATTTTCCCATTCCTCCAGTTCCCAGTGCCACACTTGGTGGAGGAGCTGTGGCTTTCAGCCAGGTGACGGCTCGGATGTGTGAACCAATTTCCCTTGCTGTCACATGCAGTGAACGCAGTCAGCTCCTTTGGTTTATGGCAGCCAACAGGATCCACAGTGGGTGACACGAGGTCTGCAGCCACACAGTGCTTGGTGGCACGGGCTGGCTGGCATTGCAGCTTGGGGCTGATCAGAAAGTGACATTCCTTGCTTTCCCTCCACCACTTCTAACATCAGCTGGTGGCCGCAGCCCTATCGCCCAGTCTTTGAGCGGTGCCTTCAGCCCTCTCTCAATGCAGGTACTGATGTATGTTTTTCCCCTCCCCCACTCTTTAGCGATTGATTTCCAGACAGACACATGAACTGGACATAGAAATGGTTGTGCTGGCCGCACACTGCAATTGATTGTGCTCGTGTGGTTGTGCACATGTGAGGAATGGAGATGAGCTCAGCGGCTGCAGCACAGCCCAGCAGGAGCTGCCTCCGTAGGTTGCTCCTGTCTTAAAGCCTGTATTAATGCTTAATAGATCCTTCGATGCACAGCTAATTGATTTATGTATTGCTATAGACACAAACCGTTTAATACACCGTTTATAGGCCTTTTTAGCTACAGTGTGTTCTATTGACAGGGCTGTCCAACGTGCTTATACTCCGTTAATAATGCATTGGCCACTGACAGGGATGGTATAGAAGCACCATGCGCTGTTACTCTCTCTCCCCACTCAATATATTGCAGTAGATTTTGACAGCTGAAATGCAAAACATCTTTTTTAGTGACTCACTTATGTCAGTGTAAAAAAAAAAATAAATTTATGGCTGCCCTTCAGTTTATTGCCCCCAAGCGCCCCATAGACTGCAGTGTGGAATTCATTTGTTGTTCAGTCCACAGCCTCTTTACACACAACAGTATTACTGCCACACTTCTAAAAGTGGGCAAAGTGTTGCTTTTCAGTAGTGCACATACATCAGGATGGCAAACAGAGCTGTCTGCCACCATAGTCCAACAGCAACAAAAGCAAAAGGACCTGCAAGTGCTGCAGCACAGCCAACCTTAAGGCTCCTGCCCACATGCTCCATGTCCTCTCCTGCCTCCCTGTCCTGTCTGAGCTTCCCTAGGGAGTTGAATCATTGATGAGGGAGAGAGTTAACTGGGTTAACAATGACCCTCTTCAGGATCAGGGAGTCAATAACTGTCAGGGCTGAATGGCACCTATCCTGACAGCGTGCACAGGCCCAGTTTGGAGACGTCGATGCCGAATCAATTCACACTGTAAATGCTGAGTCGATACACATTTCCCAGCGACAGCAGCACAGACATCCCTCCCCTGCCTGCTGCAGCAGCTCCAAGCTGGGAGGTGGGCTGGGGTCTGCATCACGGGGTCCTGCTATGGGGTGGGCATGGCTCTGAGCCTCGTCCATCGCTCTGCTGAGCGAAATGATGTTAAATGGGACACGGAGCCTCATTCCACAGTGCCCACAGGGTTCTGCATCTGGCACTCTCAGCCCTGGGGTGCATGCAGATGGCTTCCAGCCTTCCTCCCCGCTTAGGTCATACTCCTGAGTCACGGCGAGTTCCTGCTGGGACTCATCTGCTGGATGACAGTGCTGTGCAGCTGATGGAGAAGGTAAGCAGCAGAGGGCAGGGGCAGAGCACGGCGCCCTTAGATGTGCTGGGTGGCAGACAGGTCACAGCAGCGCCGAGCTGCAGCCTGGCACAGCCCCAGGGTCACTGAGGCCAACAGCCCCGCACACGGAATGCAGTCAGCAAGCCTTGACGTGTGAGCGCTCTTTTCCAAGTGATGAGAGCACGATTTAGGCACGCTTACGGGCTTGAATGTTTCTCTAAAGGTTTCCCAATTGAGACAAAGTGGAATTCCTTAGGACAGATCCCATTGCCTCAGGGTCTGATGGCGGAACCAGACCCGTTGGGTGGGAGGGAACCACACCGCACCCCGGGGTGCTGCTCCCTCCACCAGCCCTGCCAGAACACCGTAAGTGCCACAGAAACCCTGCCTGAAGCCAAGGCACAGGAACACAGGGGCAGGGCAGCCCACACAGCTGTGCATCCAGACGTGGGACCACGCTCACCCCCCCATACCCAGTGATGCTCGGGTCCAGTTCGACCGAAAGCAAAGACGTGGCAAAAGCAAGCGGTCCAGTTCAGAACTCTTTAATACAAGCTTATATTGTTTGTGTTTCTGATTCTCTGTTCTCCCAGCATCTGGGGACATTAACCCTCATATGTGTGTGAGCATGTGTATGAAGATATATACAAAATCACACAGTTAAATATTTAAGCATACAAGGTATTATATATTTATATAATATAGAACTTTAGGGTATAGGAATCAACAATGGCAAAATATTTCTGATGAATCTGACAAAACTTTTTTTTTTTGAGTGAAACATGACCTGTTCTTGAAAGACCAGAGGAAGTTGTTGTTTATTAAAAGAAAGAGAAAAACCTGTATAAAGAAATTCTGTGAAAATGACTTTAAAAAAAAAAACCTCATGAACCAAAAAAGGACAACTGTTAAAAACTGTATTGAAAAAAAAAAAATAAAATAAATTAGATGAACAACTGTGTAAATATAAATTAAAAAAGATGACAATCTTAATAAATAAGCTTTACTATTTACATCTTTATATATTGCTTGGAGACTTAAATTAGATCCGTTAAAAACAAACGAACGCAAAATAAAACCCAAAATCGGAGCAGCAAACGTACAGGCGTGAGGTACAGAATTAAGGGTTGAACTGTATTTTGCTTGGTTCTTTTTTTTTTTTTTTTTTTTTTTTTTCTTTTCTCTTTTATACAGTAGACCAGTAGAATTCTTGTGAAAATAGATCCTCAGCACTTCATTGGAGTATTGGTTGACGTCGCTTCCAAAAGGTGCCAAGAAAGATTCCATAATAATAATAATAATAACCATAATAATCATAATAATTATAACAATAATAAAAAGATACAATATGATACATAAATATGGAAGAGCAGTTGGTAATATGAATACATTTTTCTCTAGACGAGATCACAGTTTTATTTGTAAATATTACACTGATATATATATATAATATTACACATATAATATTATATATATATCATATATATTTATATATATATATTTATATATATAGTACAGCTCAATCCTGCTCCCAGTGAAGTCAACAACAACAACAACAACAACAACAAAAACCCCTGTTGACTTGGTGGAAGCAAAATTCAGCCTATCATCTGCAGACAGGTACGTAATTACAGAGGCCGTACAATGCAAGTTCCACAATGGTTCCAATTCCCTCTTTAATTGCTGGTGAAATGTTTCATTAAAGCCCTGGTTCTTCACACTCAGAAGATGGAAACTGGTGGCTGAATTGTGGCCTCACCAAACGAATGAAAAAAACAAAAGACCAACCCAAGCCAGAATGGGAACCGAAGACAAATTGGACTCATAGCTCTGCATCTCGACCTAACAGGACTAACAACACCAAGTAGCACCAAGATCCTCGTCTGTCACGTGAAGCCAACGCAAGCTCTTGGTTCTGGCCTCAGAAGAAGCGATTATTATTCTTAATGAATCTTGGATGTGTAGATCAGGTGAAAAGGGGAAAAAATCCGCTTGCAAAACTAAAACTGAAACAAAACCTTAGGCCCTGCTCTGCTCCTGCTGACACGACCAGCGGCTTTGAACACTGGTTCCCCAGGTGGCAAGAACAGCCCAACACGAACTCCGATTGCCCAAATGAGCCATAGCTCCAAGAAAAAACATCTTGGGCCACCTGGGCCTGCTGGGGCCTTGGTCATCAGAGCTTCGGTTCATGCTCCCATTGACCTCAGTGGTCAGCAACTTCCAGAGACAAGAGGACTCGTCCCTGGCCTTGAAGGTGCACAACAAGGCCAGCTGCCCACTCAAGGGAGATGGCCACAGCTGGAGGATGGGATGGCATGGAACAAATGTGAAGGGTATCACCTTCATTGCACCACTGAAACTTACATGGGACCACTGAGATCACAACCATGACGGTATGGAGAGTGCTGTCTAAGCTGGGCAGAGGGTCTCCTCCCATTGACCCAAACACACCCACCGAGTGTCAGTGAGGCATCATGGATTGAGCAGGGGAGGTCAGACGAGGCCAAAGAGGTGGTGATTTCCATGGCATCCAAAAAAATTAAAAGGACAGATCTCCAGCTCTGAAATACCCTTGGGCATCCCAGCCTCACCTGACCTCACTGCAACACCTCCTGTTTTCTAGCTTGGCCTCAATTGGGATTGATGGGGCAGGAGTGCAGACATCAGCACACCACTAATGGGATCACCTATCTCCTCCCACTCATTCCCAACCTCTTGCAACTCTTCGGGATTCAGACTGTGCAGTGCTTCTGAGTGCAGTAATTAGAGCACACTGAAATACTGGTTATACGTGTATGTACAGTTGGTTAATGTAAAAATGAGCACAAATACTCGCTTAAAAAAACAAACAAACCAACCAAAAATAATCTGGAAAAAAAAAAAATAAACACCACCCTCCCCCCAAACAACAATATACCAGGGGAAAAAAATACCTTAGTCTTAGTTCCTGGACTTATCACAAAGCACAAGGAAAACAAAACCAGACAATGTTATAAAACCTCACAGTACTTCTAGGGAAATCTACACTTAAGTATCTACCTCTACTCAGCTGGCAGAATCAGTGTTTTCCTTTCAAACTCACAAAAATAGGCTTTGCTCTTCTCTCTTCTTGGATTTGGATTATGTGGGTTTTCTTTTCTCCTATTTTTGTTGTTGTTTTTTTTTTTTCCCACTTGAATCCTTTGTAGCAAGAAACTTTTGTTGGCTATTGGCTTTCTTTTTCTCTTTTTTTCTTTTTTTTTCTTTTTTTTTTTCTTTTTTTTTTTTTTTTCTTAAACACAGGTAAAACCTAGAACAAACCGACAGTTACAACCAAGTGAAACCGAAACCGGAAGGGAGGTAGCTGGAACCCGACTCCAAGAGTCCTCTGGTGCCATCCTCCTTTCTCAGCCTGGGAGGGGACAGCAGGAGATGCAAGAAAAGCGGGATGACACCAGCTCAGCCCATCTGCGAGAGGGTGGGGAGGGAGTGGGGTAGCAGCTGATAGGAGTTTCCCACCCCATCCCGCACCATTCACTGCTTTCTGCTCCAGCTTGCCCTCCTGCTGGCCATGGAGACCACTGGTGGCCCTTTGGGTGCAGCCTTGGCTCACAGTCTGTGACAGAGATGCTCTTGGCACCGATGTGACCTGGACTTCATAAGCAGCTAAATTTCATCAGCATGAGCACCTTCTCCTATTCCCCCAATTTTCTTGTTCAATTTCACCCTGTGTCATCCTCTCATCTCCCACTCGATGTCCATCACCATCATGAAGGCTCATCCCCCAGGACTCTACCAGGCAATCAAGGCCCTTACAGCAGTAGGTGCTGCAAGGCCATCCAGTTGGTCAGGTATTCACATCCCACGAGTCCCCTCTCCTTGTTCCCCTTAATGCAATCTGATCTCCTTGGAAAATCAAAATGTAGCGTTCTTAACATGAGTTAACGTGACTCAGAGCAGCATCTCTGCTCGCGGTACTCTCAGCCCCTCTGGAGGAGATGGACAGTGCCAAAAATGGAAAAAAAAATAATATATCAAATAGCAGCATGGAAAGCCTCCGTGCGGGGAAGGGACCTGGTTGTCCCCGGACTGCTGCGAGCAGAGGCTGGCCCTGGCTGGACAGAGTCACTCAGAAGACCCTGAGCCCACAGCAGCAAGTGGCAATAACGCTAACACAGACCTGTCTCTCTTGGGCAATTCCTAGGTGGGAAAAGCAGATGGAAAATCTTCTCCATGCTGAGCTGCAGAACTGATAAAGGAGTGTTGTAAACTGGTCTGCCATCAGGATGCATGCAGGGCCTGAAGTGGGGCTTCCTGCAAGGCTGAAATCAGGGTGGTGTGGATGGGAGAGTTCCTGCCAAGACGCCTCAGGTGCTGATGTGCTGACAGCCTGTAGGGTTTAGAGGTGCTGTGCTCCTCCGATGGGCTGGATGGCGCATGAACCAATTACCAGCAGAAAGGAGGATGAATGACTGAGAAGGAAGCAACCTTCTCCCAATTACTTATTTCCATTGTTAATTAGGCGGCAAGAAGCACAAGTGGAAGTTTGCCCAGGGACCAGTTTTTGCTAATGCTCTCTACACTGGCAGCCATTCAGCTTTGCTCCATAGAAGGAGCCCTGATCCCACTGCATCACCCTTTCCCCATAGCCCTGCACAGTGGGTACAGAGCCATCCGCACGGCTCCCACGGCCAGGCCCTCTCCAAGAGCTTCCCAACAGACAGCTCCTCACCTTCTTATGCTCATCTGCTCTCCAGGCCTCCAGATTTTAGGTTGTGAGATTATTCTCCAGGTTATTCCCATAGAGGTGACCCCAATAGTGGGTGAGAAGAGCCTGGCTCTTTGCACCTACAAGTATCAATTTTCCATTTCTAGTTTTCCTATCTATCTTTACATCCATCTCCATGAGCTAAATGATTTCCCTTAAGATTTCTGCCTTGCTGTAGTGCCTGAATATTCAAAAAGGCAGGAGAAGGAAAATATCTTTCCAACTTGTCCTTTCCCAGTAGATTGTACAAAGCAGGAGAGTCCCAAGGAACAGGAAGAATTAACATTTGGGAAGATGCTCTTTCAGATGTGTGCTCCTTGCAGCAGGAACCCAAAGCAGCAGGAGACAAGTCCAGGCCACGCTGAAGACATCTCTAGGCTTTATGTGGGATGGTTTTAACAGCAGCAATAGCACTAAGATGCACTGGGCATCTCAGTGACTCAATGTGATGATGAACCCTATGATGAAATGAGCCCCACAAGAGTCTGGCACAACATGAGCCCCTCTGGGCTGAAACAGGAGGATGGAGCTATATGAAAGGGAATTATGAGAGCTGCTGCAGCTAATGCCCTTCCTGCTGGAAGATTACAAGCAGCTAAGCTCCCGGTCTTTCAAAGATATCTGACCTACAGGCCTGGATGCTTAATACTGACAAATATGACCAAAATTTTAATACTGTCTCCCCACAATACATACTTCCTCCTCTTCCCCTCTCCTAGGAAAACAAGAGCATGAAGCAGTTGTTAAATATACACAGCCATAAGAGTGGGATGGAGGAGGTTTAGAGAACCTCTTGGGTGGGTGGAGACCAAAAAGCAGATTCCTTTGGCTGGCTGGTGTCCTGTTTTCTTGCCCCAATGCTGAGGAAGAGACCAGAGGGTTTGAAAGGCAGGTTATAGGTTAAGCTTTAAGGCAGACTGTTTGGTTGCATGGGGTTGTTTTCACCCTGTCCTGACACAGTAAGGAAACTAGTTGTATGGGACATAGCAGCAGCAGTAGCAGCAGCAGACATGCTCAAATGACAAGTGTGGGGGCGAGTTACCCTCTCTGCTCCTCAGAAGCAATCGTCCACATTCCTCAATGCCAGTCGTGACTCCCCACTCCCTGGCTCCACAGTGGGACCACTTGCCCACCTCCACAGAGAAACATCCCTTTGGCTTCTGGCCGGGCAACAAGGGGGCTTTTTGTTTGCTTTTTGAGGGTAGGGGGGAGAAGGAGGAGCTGTACAGAAAGATCACTGCAGTCTGCTGAGCTCTCTGGCTGGAAGTAGCGTTCTTGTGAGGAGCAGATGAGTCCCACGTCTCGAGCCGACTGGGCACCTGGCAAGTCACTTGCCAAGAGGCACAGCCCTGCAGAGACCCCACCCCAGTATCAGTGCCCCGAGCATGAGATACCTTGGCATTCAGCATCAGAAAAGGCTCAGCCCGGAGTCCTCCAAGAGCACAGCCTCTTCCACACATGGTCTGAGTTGTGAGTGCTGGAGAGGGGAAAGTGTTTTTGCGTTGATCATAATCTCTCACTCTTTCTCTCTTTCTCTACTTATTTCTATAAATATGTGTACATAAATAGCTTGTTTCTCGCCTTAAATCTAGATATGAACTGTTCAAATTAGGTGGGCATAACATGCTGTTTTGATACATGAATGTCTTCTCGACTTGACTCTTGGTTGTTTCTTGTCATCGCTATTTAAGATATAGTTAATACATAAACCCCTACTTTGAGTTCTCCTTGGACAAAAATTAAAGGCAGACTGGTTGAATTCTAAGGGTCTCTGGTGCAGAAATGCCATCCAGTTGAGCAGCTAAATGTTAAAAATGATACCAAAAGGGATGTGGTGTCTCTCCTAGCCTGCCTTGAGCAGTGTGGTCCTCCATTCCACGTCGTTCGGCGTTACCCAAGACTGAAGCCACGGAGATCTTTCTGGTTGTGCTCTTGGGCGTTGGGGTCCCGGCAAGCACACTCTCCTTGTAGGTCACAGGACATAGGGAAGGGAGTAACCTGGGGAAGGAAACACAGGCATGTGAAGGAATCATAGAATCACAGAATGGCCTGGGTTGAAAAGGACCGTAATGATCATCTAGAACAGCACCGTGGAGAACAAACGGGACCTCTGGACTGATATCTTCAGAGATCAGCTGGAGTCTGCAGTTGCATTATTTTCTATAATTTATTTATAGTGATTTATATAATGATTTATTTCAGCAGCACACTGAGGCCTCAAATGAGCCACAAGTCCCTATGAGAGGCTGTGAAAAGGATAAAGAAGAGCTTGCTCAGCTCATCCAGTTGCTGGTCAGCAGATCCTCCTTTAACGGTCAGGCATGTGGATGCAGCTTATCCGAGGAGAAACGTACTGCTCAAGCAACCCTGGGGCTTTTGGAGTAGTCACCAAAATGCTGGAATGCATTACGCTGCCAGCCTCTTCTAAAGGGCTATCCTTCCTCCAAAGCCTGCAGACATGAAGTGATGGCAAAGCTACCAAACTCCCATTGCACATGACCAGCTCAAAGTCTCGCTGAATGTTATGCTCAACAGTTCCCAGCTCAGCATTTCCACCCACCTCCCACCTGGGGATTTGGTGAACCCTGCTTCTGGGCCATAACCTCCCCTCTGTAAGGCACCACACTGCAGTAGGGCCCTATGGCTTGGGTCCTGTTTCCATGTCTAAGTGTATTTGTGTGTTCAATTACGAGTGCTTTTGGTTTCAGTTCCTCCAGGCAGGAACTGAACCAACCACTACCTAGCAGATCAGTGAAAATACAACTGGGCAAACAGACTTCTCTAAATACCTGCTGAGTTTAAGGGGAAAAGATGCAGCTAACGGCCACTGAGAAACAGGAAAGGAACACAAATGAGTCGCTGCTATGTGCAGACAAAATCTGACCGTGATCTCTGCAGAAGCGTGGGAAGGAGCTGAAATAAGACTGCAGTGCCTGGCTAGCAGACATTGATTTTGGCACACTGCATCATCACATTTACATAAAGAAAAGGGGGTGCCAAAGGAACACTGTCTTGCTTGTCCTGAAGTGAATTCCCAAGAATTTCTCCCATCTGCGCAGACTGAGAGAATGACCTCATTCCCCTCCTTAACACTCCTTCCCAGACAGTGCCAGAACCTGTTCGATGCTCCCCATGTCTGCTGTCCGTGGCTTTGCTGCCACACGTTTGCTCTCTCTTTCACAAAACTCATTTCTCCAGGCCATGAAGGTATGCCCGTTCCCTGTGCATCAGCAGCACAGCTAGGAATGCATGAGACCAAGCGCATGAGCACACCGCTGTCATTTCCCAAAGACCTTCCATACGTGTCCCTGCACGTCCATCATAGCGTGCTTTTCTCCTGACATATGAGAACAGGATAGAGGGGTGTGGGTCTTTATTTCACACCTGGGGAGCCTACAGCAGGGACGTGCTGACACAGATGTTGAATAGCCAACACTCACCACCACATCAGGCTTCAGAGAGCCTTCTCCTGTTGCTTTTGACTTCTGTTCCCAGGAGACGTGACCTCCCTCACCAACCTATGGCCTCAGTGACTTACGAGCTGAAGAACCAAGCAGTGAATAACCTGAATCTACCGATGTGCCAATGTGGAGGGCGCAAAGGAGAGAGAGTCCAAAAGGTTAAAAACAAATGGATTCAAGTAACCGGATACTAAAGAAGCTTTAGAAATTGCAGAAAACAATAGGAGCTTACGGGTCACTTGATCCAACAGAAGCCAGCCACAGTAGGACTGTTCCATATCACAGTGTTATGAATATTCTTCGATAGGAAAATGGAGAAGTCTGTAAACAATGGGGTTCGGGAGGGACTGTTTAACGACTGAATTAAAATACTGCAGAGAATAAAACGACACATGAAAGGAACTGACTTATTTTGTTCAGCGGAGAGGGAAACATTTTGGTTTAGATTATCTGCTACAGTTCAGGTTCGACCTTTCCTTACAAGACACGAAAATAAAAAAGGCTATTCAGAGCAAAATTTATGTCTTGGAATGAAAGCTTAGTTCACTTAGAAAATGCTCAAACAAAACATGTAGATATGTCTGGAGTTTTCCCTTACTTTTATTTTTTATCCTGAATCATTCAGTTCAGCCTGGATTTGGCAATGATTTTGACTTAAAAAATCCTTCCTGTTGTACAACAGAGCTACTGGTTGGAGGCGAGATCTGGGCTCCTGGTTCTTTCATTTGTCTTGATCAAACTTCTTCCTCTCCCTGGCCTAGATTCACGTTTGTCTGTAACAGCCTAACAAAGGCAGTTCAGTGTCTCTGCATTCAGTGGAGAAAGAGGCTCATAGAGAAGGTGGATAGGCATTTTGCACTGAACACAGGAACCCCAAACAAAGGCATTTCAGTAAAGTGACTGAAATTAGCCATGATCATCTAATTGCTCTTTGTCTCTGCTTCCCTCCACGCACAAGCAGGACTGCACCATCTCCCACTGGCACAGACATCCCATAAATGCTATCATTTCACTTGGAGGAACAAGAGCCAAGAGTGAAAGCCCTGCATGACCGTATTCCAAACTGCTGGCTCTCACTCCCCTACCTTACTTTGTGGGCTGTGCTGAAACTGTGACCTGAGGAACCCAAATTGACGTGAGTTTGGTGTTGCGTTGGAATTCTCTACCTCCCACATCCCTGCTCCTCCCTACCTGAACAAAAGCTCCACGTAAAAGAATGAATTGTTACTCCACTGCAGCAAATATCTGGGAAGGTGTCACTAGGGAAGCGTCTTCCCATGTGCTGTCCTCTGAAAACCCTCCGGTCTTCCCTCAGCAGTCACGGACAGAAGAGACAGAAGCTGTCCCTCTGTGCACTGCCAAGGGCCCAGAAGCAGAGCTGCACAGCCCAGCAGCAGTCAGCAGTGGGGAGCCTGACTGGAAGAGGGTTTCTTACTGATCAGATTAGCCTCATTCACTTTATGACCTTTACAGATTTTGTATGCAGTTTAATTTTTACAGTGCTATTGTCCAGAGAGATGAATAGTTTTGTCTATGGCAATGAGCTCTACAGATCAGTTTTCTATTATGTGAAAAGGCAAAGATTTTTATGGGCAGTGAGCACATCCACAGTCAAATTAGACAGGACAAAATTTGCCAAACATTAAACAGTGATGTGGGATTTCCACTTTAAATATCATCTACAACAATTAAACATTCGATTTCCTCAAGGACCTGATTTCCAGAGGTATTTAGGGAATCAAACCCACACACAGCATCTACTGGGACTGTCAGAAGTGCCCAGCACAGAGAAACCATAAAACGCCTTAGAACAAGGACTGTCTTTTGTCTTATGCTTGTTCTGTGACAGCCCTGTGGAGCACAGATCCATGAACAAAGCTGCTGGATGTGCTACAAATAATAAACACTGAGCATTTTTCTGAATGATGACCTGTGTGGAGCCCAGATACACTGACTCCAAGATTAACTGCTGCCTTTCTTTTTTAATAGACTGGGGAAAGGCCAACTCATTAACAACATGTATGATCTGCACAGAAATTTTGAGATGTATCCACTGTGAAGCAGCATTAAAGAACTGTCTCCTCTTCCTTCCACCTGCCAAGTCCTGCCTTCCCCTATCACTCCCCACATAGGAAACCCGGCTAATATGTATGAGAGTGTGGAAGAAAAGCCGAAATTCAAGCGTAGGGCCCGGCTCATTACTGGATGAAGTTCTGCAGGATGCTGTCTCCACAGGCTACCTAAAATAATCTGAGAAAGACAGAAGTGAAGAACACAGCTCTGCACACCTACACGCTCCCCCTACACATGCACACATCTCCTGGAGGTGATACTTGTGTCCTCTACGAAGGCATAGGAGCCCATAAGTATCCTCTCCCAGGCAAGGTGATGAGACTATGGCCAAAACTCACACTGCTTTTGGAAGCAGGGCTGCATTTGCCCTTGATGCCACATTCCAGACTATGGGAGCAAAGACAATCATGAAACATAGCAGTGTAGAAATGGGACCCAGGTCATGAAATGAGTCAAGAGCCTTAAATCCTCTCTAAAGAGGCTGGTAATATCCCAAGACAGATTCCTGCTGAGAAAGTCCAGTGTGGGAACACTGACAGAAGAAACAGCTAACAGGTACGAGGAGGGGTGGGAAACACTTCTGCAGAGGGTCACAGCTTACCTCTAGCACACATTCATATCATACTGACCCAGCTCCACCTCCCATCCAGGGTGGGCAGCATTGGGTCTGAGCTGGAGGCAGGGGGAAGAAGGGGAGGAGGCATGGAAAGTGTTGGGAAATAACTTGTTGTTAGACTTCAGCTCTGAAGTGTTTGCAAAATCTCCCAGATGAGATGAATGGGAGCTATGAAGACCCCGCTGCACACAGAGCCTCTGCTATGAATGCAGCACTGAGATAAGCGTGGCAGGTGGTGCTGAGTGCCACGGCCCTGAGACCCTCACAGATTGAATGCAGGGGAGTATTTTGCTCCTTGTGAAAGCCCTTGCAGGACAAAAATGCATCCTGTAATGTTCTTCCCAGTGTTTTTTGTCATTTAGGTCACAAGGGCCGTTTGGAGATTATGGAGCAAAAAAAAAAAGAGCTCCCTTTTAACTCTGGGGGCTGGTATGCAGGTTCACACCTAGGGCACCTCTCGAAGGGGCCTGGGAAGGGTGAAGATGAAGCTTGTAGGGAACCTCCTGAATTTCTCTTATTTGCACCTCTTTAAACTGGGCTTTTCCCCATCAAAGCCAGCAAGCCCAATGTAATAAGACACAGCTCACCTAAACCCAACTGACCTTCATCAATGTCCACTGGGTCCCAACCAGACGCAGCCCCACCGGTGGACCCAGAATGGCCCAAAGCCAGCTGAGATGCTTGGGAAAGCTCTGGTGGCACAGGGTGCTGGGTGCCAAACGCCCACATCCTCACCAAGCTCCTGCACTCACGGGGCTGAGCTAAGCAAAGGAGCCCTCGTGCCAAACCACACGGAGCTCAGCTGCTCAGCCATCAGCTGCGCTTCCTACCCTTGTGCTACTGATTGTGCAAACATGAATGTAATTAGTCTAAATAATCACCGAAGATTTAATAGCAGCCAGACCACCCAGAGGCCAAATAGCTGGCGGTGGAGCAGAGAAGGTTTGTTCGCTGGTTTTTGTAACACTTGCTAATGAAGTGAGGTCGGATAGCAAAGCAAACACCCTCCACGAGCACTTCCCCTGGGAACGCTGTATGTTGTGGGAAGCCCCACGTCCCTTGAAGCCAAGAATGTTCTCTCAGGATAGGCAACATGTGCTACTACCATCCCTGCTTTTAATTTATCAGCGCCTGGAAAGCCTCCCCGAATGATTATGAAACCGGCTCTGAGCCCCAAAATAAGCTCCCATCCCAACCAACCATGACTGGAAGCGCTCCTCACATGGCAAGCAGTGAGCCACTCACACTGCGCTCAAAAGCTCCTGGGGAAGTGAGTTCACCCAAAGGCCTGGGTGAAGCAGCATGCTCAGAGCACGCAGCAGCGCTGAGCCGCTTCCAGGGGCATGAAGCAACGCTCCTCATTGTGTCTGGCCTTCCTCCGTGCTCACCCGCCATTCATTGTATCTCGCCAGCTAATTACAGAGCTGACAAACACACCCGGCTGGGGAGTTCCAAGCTGTTGGGAGCAGCACCGTGTCACAGCCATCGATTCTTCTGGATAAGCAAAATTTCCTCGGCTGGGGTGGTCACTTAGGCTGCTAATTGTGCACACTGCCTCAAAATCACGTTCTGCAAGAGGAACAAGACCTGTGATTCCCCAGGACAGCTCTGTGCAGCGGAGAGCAGAGAGATGGCACTCACTTTTCCAAAATCCCAAGAAATGACTATTTCTGTTTTCTCAGGAGTGGGAGGGGGCAGACCCCCCTTTCTAGGGAGACAGGGACAGTCTTGGGAAATCCTTCCTGGAGCCAGCAACAGCCCTTCAGTTCAAAGCTCCTTTCTTTAGGCCTTGAATTCTTGGCCATAAAGTCTCTGAAGAGGTTTTGATAAGTTGCATATCTCATAGATAAGCAAAGCTTTGGACGAATCCCACGCGGTTCTCTATCTACCGCAAGCCCTCATTTGTTTTCCGCCAAGGCACTTGCTGGTTTTCCTCTCCAAGGTGTTGGACAGCAATGTCAAGAGGCTGAAGGGGCAGCATTTGAGATGGGAGTTTTTGCCAGGTTGATTCTCCTTTTTCTTTTCTCAGGGCTCTGGGGCAAAGGGGTTGAGGGAAAATCCGAGAGATAACCGAACAAGATGGGTTTTTCTCACGGGGGCTGTAGTTCTACCCCTTATGTGATGAAAAGGAAAAGCAGAGAGGAAAGACAGATGAGTTTGCCCTTTCAAATGGCTTAGGTTGGGGTAAATTTAGAGCAGCAAAATTCCCTAAGCTTAAATTTGCAGAGATCAGACTGCAGGGACTTCCATGCGAAAATCTGCTATTTGAGACTGGAACAAAGTACGCAAGCAGCCTGAAGAAAGACGTTTCTGATTTCTGTGAGGCCTTACTAGACAGCCCTGCACTGGGAAGATTTGTAGAAGGGAAGGGAAAGAGAAGTGAAGGGGAGCAGTGACTGGAGAGAAGATTTCCTGAAACTAATCGGAAAGAAAGAGCCATCAGCTCTCCCTGGCACGTCTCACGCCCCAGGAGCTCCACGCAGCTGCCGCCAGCCCAGGGGCAGCCAGCTATGCCCAGGTTATTTATTTTCCCCACTTTAAGCACTGTCAAATATTTAATGCTTTAAAAAATAGTATCTTCTTTTATCTGCGGCAGGACACAAAGCAAGAAGCAGCTTCCTGGAGCAGCCAGGCGGAAGGGAGCTGGCAACCTGTGCTGGGTCAGGAGGAGAGGAAGATGAAAAGGAGACAGGCTTTTGTTTTGTCCTTCACGGAAGACTTTATCCCCTCCAGATACACAACAGAAGCCTCCTCTCTCTTGGAAGTTGGCTGGCAATGGCCTTCCTGTCTCTCCAAGCTGCTCCTGGGTCACGCGCAGGGCAAGCTGTGCAGCCACATCCACTGCCAGTGCCTCCCTGCTGCTCCCTGTGCCCTGCAGACAGCTGTCCCTGCTGCCCTGGGTGCCACTGCACAGCCTCGGCTTCCTTCCCTCTGCACGGGCAGGCTGATCAATTAGCACAGAACAAATAATTAAGCTGATGAATGTCTCTTTTTCCTGCTTGTGATGGCCGTTGCCTCAGATTCATGCCTAGAATATGACTGAATTTATTTGTTGCCATTTGCAGCATTCAAAAGAAGCCTTTAATGATTTCTTTTAAGCTCCCTGGACTGATTGTGAGTAGCGCAGGGCAAATACTCATTATTTCCTATCTAAGCAGCAGCACTGATTAGTCGGTGGTTGGCCAGATAAGCCACACCACCCTGCTCCCCTCTCTCTGCTGTAATGCACAAGGTCGTTTGCTGCTAATGCTCAAATGCAAAGCAAAAACGTGCCCTAACGGAACGGCACATGGAAGCCTCCTGCGTTTTTTCAGGCTAATAAAACAGGAGCGTGCAGAATCAGACATTAAGTAAGAGGACTGTGGATCAAAGTGAATGTGGGTTGAATCTTTGTGTTTTCAGGCAACCCAGTTCACAGCACTGTGTGCAGCTGAAAGTGTTTTTGGGAGGGGAGTGGGAATGCAGTGAAACTTAAGTCTTGACAGTTTGCGGACATTAAAGATCTGAAGTCAGCTCTTACTTGCCTGTTAGCTCCTGAATCTTCACATGATGCAATGCTAATCTTCAGCCTTTTCCTAAAATAACGTGCGGAGTTGCTATGTTCTGTTAAATGTGAACCATGTGTCACCTCAGCAATGGCTGCGACGGTGAAAAGATGATAAATCTAAAGCTTGTAAAATGTCCTCTGACATTTTGGGAGAAAAACAGGTGTTGCATAAATGTTAGACATTTATGGGTAAACTAGCAGGGGCTTTGAAAGACTGACACATCTGCCACATAGTCTGTAACCCTGAAAGGAAAGGAGCAAAGCAGGCACTTGCATGTGTCTCGCTCTTTCTACAACTGTATGAAAATACATCCTCATCTGGTATTGGAATTAGCAAAGCTGGACTCACCCCTCCCTGTGTCTCCTCCAGGTTTTTGGCTTTTACACCCAATGTGTATTTTAAAACTGTGTCTGTTTAAGTAGGTGGCAAATTGTGCTGGAAGAATTTGGTATGCGGAGTATTTTTATTCAGCTCCCTTTTCTCACACCTTTCATTGTTTTTCCCCTTGGAATATCTCCTGTAACGCTCTACTCATAAAGCTCTTCAAAGGCAGGGCTGTGTTTGAACAGCCTTGCCCAAAATCTGCTCTCCAGTCAAAGACCTCAGACAGGAAAATAACTCATAGGGCCGCGCCGCCGCTGCCGCAGGTGTCCCAGTCTGCCTTGCAGGGCTGTTATCCCCTCTTCACCCGATAAAAGTAATAAACTGGGACTTGGTTTTGACCTGCCAAGGTCCAAGGAGAAGGCAGTTTTCTCACTTCCCAGTGCCCTCTTCATCGGTGGGTTTAGGGAGAGAGGCAAGGCTTGGGGAAGCAATAAATTCTGCTCCCAAACCTTACTCCTAACCCTCCCCTCAGTTCAGCCCCACACTCTCCAGTCCTGTCTCTGCCCCGTCAGGATGTTGTGCCCTTCATTCCCGCCCCAGTGGGGCTGGTTTGGGTCAGCCCTCTCCTGACCACATCCCTGCTGGTCCTATGGTGCCTCTTGGGATTAGGAAAACTACCTCCTTCCCTAGCTCCTGTATAGTGAGGAAAATAACCCCTTCTGTGTGACAAAACACATCCCAGGTGGGTGAGAGGCAGTCACAGCATTGCACTGCCATGAAGTTTTTCACTGAGCCAAGGAAAAGAAACCTCCAGCAACAGCTGCCTTAGAAAGGACTGCTCCCTGCAAAGAGGACTTCAGTCCCTCAGCTGCTGTATGTAGAGAAACTTCTTCCTCAGCCTGGTAAAATGCATCATCTCATACACTAAACCCACGCTTCCCCTGTCTATTCTCAAGCTTTCAAATTTATTAATGTACATCAGATACTTAACATAGCTGGATTTTCTTCAGTCTGATCTACACTCAAATCCTCAACAGAAGGTAAAAATTTTACATGCCAGAGGCTATGATTCTCTTTCCTTTCTTTGGGAAAAAAAAAAAAAGTTCAATATCTATCATGGTTAGAAATATATGAAATGTTGTAGTGCTTCAAACCACAAGCCTCATCACTCTCCTATCTATGAAATACTGGCCAGAAATGAGTATTAAAAAAAGCACAAAAATATGGGGATGTTTGGAGGGATCCTTCAGTTGCTTAAGCAGTCCATGTTTTAGATATTCCTGTGCCAGAAACTGCATCCAGATCACTGTAATTAATAGCCACTGATGGGCTAAACGTCCATGAATGTACCTATTCTTGTTCTGAATCAAATATATTTCGGTGTTAATAATGCTCTATGGGAATGCATCCCATCATTCAAATACACGCTGTGTGATGGGTCGAAGTTCAGATTTACTGATGCATTTGTTTTGCTCTCTGCTCTTCTCTTAATGAATCCTAACTTTCAGTTTCCCTTTTGAGCACGGAGGGCAGATATCAGGACAGGCAAATCCACCCTTCTCAGAGTGCTTGATGGAAGATCTCCTGAGCACCAAATGCAAAATGGATGACCAACTGCTTTTCTGATGAACATGCCCCAGCGTTCTGGAGGGAGACAGCTTTTGCCTACAGAGCAGTAAGGATTCATTTACAACAGGAATGAATGATGGCCTGAAACTGGACATGTCTTGGACAGGTATAAGGCAGGTTGTGATGAGAAATGCACATGCCTATCAAGAAAGAACTGCAAAATGAACCAAGAACTGGGCATCCATAGTGAGCTGATGCAGAGACTCAAGGTCCTTCTGAGGACCTTGGATCCCCTCTTCTAGTCAAAATAAAATCTCCCTGGACACAAAACAACTCTCTCTGAGGAATTCCCAAAGAAAACAGGAAGGGACATCCCTACCTTTTTGGTCTTGACTGTTGAGGCACAGCAGTCCCCACCATCATAGTTGCAGAAGGCTCGGTTGTTGATGGAATCACAGTAGTTGTCTCCCATGAAAGGCTGGAAAATAAAAGAGCAGAGACTAGGGACATGGACACAGATTAACAGTAACAGTTATCAGAAGGAGAAGATGAAGCCTTGAAAGAGCCATGTAGTTTATAACATTACCAACTGCCCTGAAAAGCAAGAGATAATTATTCCCCTCTCTCTTCAAAGCAGACAGAAAAGGGAAGGACACTAGAGCCCGTGTTGGCTTTTCACATCCCACATAAGATGATGCTTCAGGAATATTAATTTGACTAGGCCCAGAGACAGCATCAAGACATCTAAAATTGTGTCACCTTTTCACAATTTTAAGCTAACCTTCTGAAACTATGTGGGATAAGAAGAAGGTTATGCATAGCAACAAAACTGGCATTCTTTTAATAGTTGTACTTTCAACCACGGCTCTCCTAACTATGCAACAAGTGTCAGCAAGGAGGGTATAAAGCAGATCTGAAGGAGAATTGGAAGTGGCCTGAGCTAAGTATGGGTCCACATGCACTTGTTCCCCAGTTAGCACTTATTGTGTCTGATCTTGGCCATGACACCTAATCTTCCTCCACTCCACTGCTCAGAGCTGGGATAATGGAAATTATTCAGAGGGACGCTGAGAAGAGCTATTAAGCAAAATTCATAAATCACCTTGAAAAAGAAAATGTGGTCTATGCGCTGCACAGGACCTGAATAATAATCACAATTCTGAAGAAAAGGCTTGAGGTCTGGATCTTCATTACACCTCAGAGCCTTATTAAGTACAAGGGCCCTTCTTGGAAATCCAAACTGTGCCTGATGCTAAGAAGTGACTGTGCCAGGTACCAGGAACCCAGGCAGCTCTGAAAGCTCAGACAAAGGGATGCTAAGCACAGAGCACAGTCATACCTCCATAGCACTTCTTACACTCACAGGCTCATGGGGCCATTCCCATTTTATGTGCTCTTTGGAAAATTCATTTGCTCTGCACTTAGAAAAACACACCAGGGAGTTTCCGACAAGAAGTCCTCTCTGCAGAGCGGGTGGGGAGGATTTCACAGCAGCTGCAGTACCCAAATTTTCCTGATGATAGAGACCTAAGGAAGCAGCAGTGAGAGCTTACCTGAAAGGCCATGGCCATGGCCATCCATATTGAGACAGACTCTGTGGACTGGTGAAGATGCAAGCTTTTACTGCTGCTGTTTTGCAAGTTTACATATTTCTATCAGGGTATAGGAATTCCAGGCCATAATGGCAATACTGGGTGAGAGCAGGCTCCCATGAAGTGACTAATTGAGTATCATTGCTTTAGATACAAGCAAATACTGCAAATGCCAACAAGGAAAGAAGAATTAGAGTGTGAGATTCCACTCAGTACCCTTCAGACTGGCTGCACTCCACTGACTTCCAGTGAGACTGGCTCACTTATACAGACAAAGGCCTTGACTTGAAAAAGCCCTTCCAATTTCATTAATATAACATGAGTTACATGGACAAGATTTATAAATTGATGGAGAGATATTTTTATGCCAATCTGGTCATATTAAAAACAATGAATTTTGTTCAACCTCCTACGACATCTTGATAGGCTTCCGTTGTATTGACTGGCTGTGCCTGCTTGTTAAGAAAGGTTTTGCTTTGATTTCCTATGCCTATGTCTGTACCTATGAACACTGAAAAATTACTAACAAGAACTTGTAGAAGAATTTGCTTTTTACTTGCACTGGCTCAGCAAGGAAGATCATCCTATGGAGGAAAACAATGGGACAAACAACATCTATTCTGATTTGGTACCCGAATCCTCATTTGGGAAGCCTTGGAGGGCTGGCTGCTGAAGTCTGTAGAGGTCTCGATGCATATCTTAGTGCTCCACATTTTTGGAGGAACTTTCTTTTTTCCACTGACTATACAGGTAGGGGTGGGGAGACTAGTTTTCACCAAAACATCTAAGTTAGCTGCCTCCAGGTATGTAGCTGACTCATAAACCTCTATTCCAGCCACTAGGGAGCGACAAAAAATCACATTGCAGCAGTCTGGGTTACTGCTCTGAGTGCCAAGAGTGAAATAATGCCCTGCTTACAGCCTTCTATTCAGGGAACCCTCCCTAATGCTAAGGATATTAATACATTAGGGATTGTATCAGTCTAATGGCCTGGTATTATTGACCTACTGGCTTATTATTTCCTGTTTCCATAGTCATGAAGAAAGGCTTGGTGAAGATGACATTTCTTCTGAAATCTTACTGCCAGAGAACAAGCTCTGGCCCATTCTTGGATCCTGGAAGCATCATGCTCTAAAAATGATGCTAGAGGCCATTATCAATTGTCTGGGCAAAGCCTCCCACGATGACAGATTGTGATGCAGTGACACTGCTGAATGAATGATGAAAAGAAGGAAGTTTCTATTGATGTAGAGGGATCTGGCAATTAACAAGTATGGAAGGAAAGAAAACGCGGAGAAAAAGCATGTCAGTAATAATGGCTGCTGGTAAATTATTACATCACTGCGAAGTTTGCGTCAGTACAAACTATCCTTAAACAGCAGGAGAGTGGATACCCAATGTGCATCAGCACCTGAATGGCATTTCTTAATGGCCACTGGATGTTATTTTAGCTCTCTTTGGAGAATAGGGGCGCATAGCCAGCCTGCATGAATGTAATGTGTGAGATGCCTTATGACATTCAAAGCACTGACAGCAGAATGCTTTTCATTTAGGGAACAACTAGACAGAAAGTATTACATTGTTGGAGAGTTATTACCCTCTTGGGCTCAACATTTGTATGCGAAGGAAACCTGTCTTTCACTTCAAGAGAAATCGTGCCGCACAGCAGTGTGGCCTTGTGTTTTGTGTCAGATTTAGCAGCTCTGTGCCATGATCTACCACTGCGGGCAAATAACTTCAGTGCGCTTGTAAAATTGGGTTACTGAGTGCCAAGAGTGCAGTTGGTGCTGCAGAAAGTTGGGAAATCTGGGTTTGAGAGACAGCTCTTCCAGAGCATGTCCATGCAGCCAAAGCTTCTGCCTGTGAGTTATTCCATTTCCAAAATGGGCATGAAGCTGCCCAGCCTCACAGAGATGCCACAAGGTTTGACTTCTTCATGTCAGTCCTGGTGAGACACTCAAGTGCCAGCATGATGGAAATTGTATGACCAGAGAGACGTGATCCAGTGCTGCTTATGCACTGGCAATATTTTAAGAGCTCTCAGGCTTCACAATGATTGTTGCCAACAGAAACATCACTCTTCAAAATAATTACTTATTGCAAATAAGACAGAAGACAGTGAGCATGATTTGCTCACTGTTCAGCTGTGCTGTCCAGCAAATGGCATCATTCCTTCCCCTGGCTTTGTTAATCTCCACATCACAGTTCAAATTCTATCTGGCCTTAAAAAGAATTGGTCCTCTAGTAAGATGTAAGAAACAAGTAAAATAACTGTAGCTTTCTGCAGTCTTCCAGAAAGTCCCACATCCTGGGAAATTCCAAAGGTCGGCCCATTATATTGACCCGTTTGATCATTTTGCTCATGCAAGAGTCACCCAACCATCTGTTCTAGAAAAACCACCAGTTTCACCACTGAGTGTAAGAACTGGTGCAGGAGATCTCTGTTTAATTGACAGGACAGCCAGGGCAAAAGCCTGTTTACCCCACTGGAAAAACATTTCCAGCCCATATGGCTGCAGTGACTGTTACCATAACATATAGGGGAGTAAGCATGGCCCATCTGAGAGAATGCAAATGCTCACCTCACAGCCTTTGACACAATGAATCAGGGAAGGGTGAGGGTACCACTTGAGTCCCGCTGTGCAGACAACGCTCTGGAGGAGAGAAGAAAAAAAAAAACAAACATCAAGTTAAGACAAGGAAATCAGTGTACGGAAAGTCAGTGTGCTGGCTCCTACGGCCCTACTGTACTTAAGCAATGAAGTTTAGTTCCTAACACCTCTTGTGTTCTCAGGACCTGGCTCTCCTCCAGGTATTTACAAGAAGTGTTGGACTTGACACTTGCAATAACAGAACATTTGAGAAAAAAATAATATTTAACATTTTCCCTAAAATGTCATGTCCAATATTTCACTCATGGTGGGGGAACGTGGCAGAAAAGGCAAAGGAAGGGGTCCACTGTCCAGCTCCTGGGAAGTGGGGAGGCATTTTAGGAATTCATTTAAGGATTTCTTTGGTGCTGCAAAGCATTGCTCTGTTTTGCTACCTGTCATATCTGTGCATCCTGAAGATGCAAACAGCTAAAGGTGGACTTTCAGAAACATTTTCGCACCATCCTTTAGATCTTAAATAGAAGCACCTCCCACCACACACCTTCAAAATAATCCCCAAAAAGGACAGCATCATCTGTTACACTGTATGAGCTTTATAATAATTTTGGTACTGACTACACTTACAGGTTTTCTGTAAGAGAAAAGTTGAAGTGCTTAGTTTTGGAGAAAAACGAGACACCAGCCTACTCAAAGACACAATATGGACACTCATTGTTTGTCTGTAGATACGCAAACCTAGATTTTAAAGAGGCTTGGCCAGTCAGTGGTGGTGGCAGTTCAGTACCATGGAGGTTTGGGTGATGGGACAACCATCCATACACCACAACAATCACCAGGACAAGGATCATTTTGGGTTACTTTCCATGAATGAAACAATGGCCAACACGAGTACATGGGTACTCATCAAAGGACTGCGGCTGGGGTTGGACGGAGGCCTGGGGAAGGAAGGGATTAACATTTGGGAAGACCTGACGTACAAGCCATCCCTCCCCCTGTTTATCCAAAGCCTAATTTAATCCATCTGCAGGGGAACCTCAGCATGTTTTTACAGTTTCTGTCATTTGAGGCTTACCTGGCGTGTGCTAGAAAAAGGACTTTTATACTATCTGACTGGGGCTGTTTATCTTTCCGATGCTCTCGGATTTTCCACTATTAGTCAAGCCCGGCTTGCCCCACCTGCCTCACAACAGGGCCCGTCTGTGTGAGCGGGGCAAGGCGGGGAGGCTGCAAGGTGCGGGGGCCCTGCGGTGGCAGACGCTCCCCCAATGCGCTCCTGACAGGCAGCTGGAGATTTCCAGCCTGCTGCCTGCCACAAACGGCCAGAGCTCGGGTTGTTTTTTTGTTGTTGTTTTCTTTTTTTTTTGTTTGTTTTGGGTTGTTGTTTTTTTTTTCCCCCGCTCTGCTGTTTATTGCACTTCAGAGGGAAAAGAAAGGAAACTTTTGCAGGTTTCAAAATAAACAAGACCAGTCAACAGGCTGGGAGGGGGAAGTACTTCAAGAGCCTTTGAAACAAAAACTGAAGAAGAAAAACTCAGCCATATGCCTCTCGTATCTGAAGCCAGCCAAGAAGAAAATGTGCACTTCTATTCAGCACCTCACATTCCTGGTAAGAAGCATCAACATCTACACAACCCCTTGATGTGTGCGAGCATGTGGAGCTATCAAAAGGAACCAAACAGCCCTGAAACAGGCTCTTAAGGAAGGAAGTTTCCAAGCGAGACCAACCCCTTGCAGAAGATGCACTACTTTCCAGGCCCTCCCAGTTTTAAAAATCCAGCAGCTACTGAATTTTGTCGTTCCCCTCAGAGGAAGAGATGGAAGGTGAAGTCTCCTCAAGCACAGATCTCTGCTCTCGCTCAAGGCTGCCTTGAATCCCAGTGGCTAGAACAACTTTTGGCTGGCCAGCCTCCAGGAAAGGGTGTGCAACCCCAGACTGTAACACAGGAGAGCCAGCTGACCTTGTGTGACATCCATCACTGGGTCAGTGGGACACTCACACGGCAGCTGGGAAAGGCTGGGTCCCAGCAGATAACCAGAGCTTTTCATCACAAACACCACTCAGCTCTTCTCTCCGCAGCAGCCAGGATGTGCCAAAAGGATTCAGATGGACAGTCCTGCACAGGAGCGTGTGCCAATGGCTTAGTCCCAGTTACTTTGCCTTCTCTTTGGATGACTCATTACTAGCAGGGACTATTAGAGCTACTCCAACTAAGTTCAATCCACTGAGCTGGAAGCAGGGTACTTGGGAAAGGCCCTCGATCACAATTCTGGGTCCCCCTGCTGGTTTTCCAAACCCAAATTCACAGCACAAGTCCTGTCTGTGCCCTCAGCTTGCTGCTGGGCTGAGGGGGAGCGGGAGAAGGGAGAATCTGGGCTGGAAATCTGAGGAATGAGAGAAGATTTGGGTAGCTGTGAATCACCCCTACTTCTTGTGGTGCCAAGAGGTCCAAAGGTGCAGGAGTGCAGTGTGGGGCGATGAGGTGAATGGAAAGGAAGGAGGGGTGCAGGCAGCACTGCAGGAGCCTTGTTAACACTACCAAGATGGCATCAGTGCACACAGAAAGAAAGGCCTCACATGCCAGGCGGTGCTGAGGAAGCCCATGTAGCACGGCACAGGCCTCATCCCTCCCTGGGTCACTGTGGTGACACATGGCTGCCTGATGGCCCGGCTGCCCTCGTTCATCAGCTCCTGCAGCACAGCTGCCCTCCCGCCTGGTCTGTCCCTATTCCAGAAATGCCATTCAGCTCCAGCTGCGGTTTGGTGGCTGTGACTCCATCTGCTGTGAACAGAGAGGAAGCCGGGATGCGCTCCCACAGTAGGTAACAAAGAGCCAAGAAAGCAAATCAAGCTGTCATTTTCTCCTTGTGAGGGAAGACCTAGCGCCTCTGGTCACGGTGCTTCCCTCCCCACTGTGGGACTTACACAATGATGTCAACCATTTGTGGCCTGCAGAGGGGATTAGGTTTCCCCAGGAGAGGCCTTGGAGAGCTCTCCTCCACCTTAGATGGGTCAAGTGTCCCCTGGAGCCCAAGCACGAGGACTGGCATCCACCGGTCTCAGCGAACCCTCTCCTCAGGCACTAAATGAGCATGGCAATTAACCATGAGGGCTGCTGAGGGGATCGGTGCTGCTGACAGGGCAGGGAGACGTGGCTCATTGTGGCTGTGGCCTCTCAGGTCTGCAGATGGGGGGCAGCTCCCACACTTCTGGGGCTCAGCCCCTATATTGCCCTAAACTGCGACTCAGTTTCTCAGCCTGCAAAACAAGCCTGACACTCTTTGGAATGGAAGAAAGGACGATAACTGCAAACCCTACCTGAAGGAGAACAGATATGGATTGCTCAGATCATTTTTGATATCTTCTGAGCACCTGAAGTCTCAGGAATTGTGGCGTTCAGGTGCAAGGATTTGGGGAAACGCATTGCCACTACTCGGGTAGCGTCCCTACTCACTAAGCCCCACTGCCAGCCAACCCATATGGGGCTATCCCATGCAATGAGACAGTATTTGGCACAAAGACAAGCACCCATATTCAGACAACCTAGGAAATTAGGTATCGGCACTCACTGGGAAAGAGCTGTCAAGCTGTCTTTCTGAGGCACTTCACTTTTTTCTCTTCACTGCCTTGTAGTCAGCCTTGGCAGCTCTATCTATAGGTGTCTTCAACAGCTCGCTGCCCCTTGCATACATGCAGCAAATGGGAAATCAGAGGAAGAGCAATGATTGTCCCAAATGCTGTCTGCCACAGAACAGCAGACGCACAGCAGATTGCAGGTGGCTTTTTGTTCCTGCTGAAAATGATTTGGGAGACACTGCAAATTCGCACTGATTTCAGCAATCAGTTTCAGACCAAGCAAAGCAACTCAAAGCCTCAACCAATTCTGAAAAAACACATCAATGTGATGACATTTGGTTCTTGTTCCTGTGAGAAGACACTTGATTTCTAAGCTTATTTCAATTATTTTTAAGCAGAAAGCTATAAAAATACTCATTTTTCTTAAACGACACAAAAATAGTTGGAAGTTAAACACTACGTTATGTTCAAACCCAACATGGTTTTCCTCCAATTTTTTGGTTCACCAAAAATCACAACATCAAAAATATCTCTTTGGTTAGGAGAAAACATTTTTTTCATGTTTTAATTTGACAGAACTTCCAGCGAACCGAAAAATCAAGTGATTTGCACAGCGCTGCTCTAAACAACTCCCAGAGGAGGGATGGTTCCCTCTTTCCACTTTGCCTCCATAACAGCTGTTGCTTGAGCAGCCACACACAAATGTGTTTCTTTCTTGCTGACTCTCCCTGTGTTTTATCTGTGCATGTCCTCTCAAATGCAAGTCCCTCAGACTGGTTCTACCCTGCTCGTGCTGCACTGATCTGCACATTATTTGTGCCTGAAGTTAAGTAATAGAAAGTGCTTCCCTTGTATCACTGAAATACTTGGTGACCAATGAAGACCCCTGTAAATGCAAGCAGCTGGTCGCTTCGCTCGCATGGCACAACAATGAGCTGTCAGCAAACGTAAATAGAGACACATATTATTAATGATATATAGCATATGGCCACGGGGACCTTCCCCTGAAGCATCCCAATCCTCATCTCTCTAGGGTCTCCCCTGGCAGCAGCATTTCCCACAGCACACGCTCCCTGCGAGGCACGGCTCGCTGTGGGTGACATCCTCTGTCTGGGGAGCAGAACAAGATGGATGTCTCACAGCTACCAAACCCCCCCATCCAGCATCACCCCACCAGCTGCCTACCCTATGGGTCTCCTCTCAGCACTGTGCACACAACTGCTGCTCGACAAGCAGAAAGCCCTGCACGACCCAAGGGGGCTGCCAGGACGCAGCTCTGCATTCCAAGGAGACATGAGAGCAAAGCCACTTCCTCTGCATGCCCCCAAAGCCTCCCCACCATCATCCAGCACATTTTCCCACCTAAATCTCACCCCCTGTCTACAAAGTGTTAGTGGGACAAACTTAAATCTACTAGCCAATTGCAAGGTCCCCAGCCATCCTGGCAAACAAGATCTTATTTACCACTGAACTCTGGGAAACTGTGATTTTGCCTCCTTCCCTTGCTCCCCTCATCCCCCCTTTACCACTCTGTGTTTTCCCTGCTGCCTAATGAGCCCTCCAGAGACCTGAAGGTATAAAACTCGTTACAGCTCCCTCTGCGCACCCGCATCAATAAACGAAGGCGCACGGCACAGAACGGGAGGGAAGCTGTCACTTTATTTCACCATGAATTACAAAACCACTTTAAAGTCTAGCACTCGGGAAAGGGCCAGTGAGAAATTGCCCCTAATACAGATAGGGGTTTTCTTTATGTTCCATGCCAGAAACTTGGCAAGGCCCAGGCTTAGGCAGTAATATAATCTCGCTGCCTGGAGGGAGTGGGAAGCAGGGATGGACACTGTGAGCTTGTTGTATTCTGTGGACTTATGTTCCTCATCCCTTTCCAGGATTTATTCTATTGCTCTGTATGGCCCCATGTGAAACAGGGAAATACAAAGCAGCAGAGATTTTCAGAGCATGTCCCTAACCGCAGCCACAGCATGTGTGTGTGTCTCCCACTGATATCAATGTGAAACCAAGCAGCTATTTGCTGCCTGCACGCGGCTGAGCGTGTGTGTAAAGCACTGTGTATAGGTGTGTGTGCCCCCGTGGGGGGTGACTCATAAGCTGGAGGGCACCCAGGACAGCACTGCAAGTGGTTAACGCTGCTGTGCTTCTGCAGCAAGCAGAGGGAGAAGTAGTGACCTCTGGAAGGGGTTGTGCTGAGCTGGCAGTTCTCACATGCGGGTGAATGGGGGGGCGGGCAGGACCCAGCCAGCTCTGCTGCTTTGGGAGATGAAATACCCCCTGTATCAGCTTTTTTTGTCAGCCAAAAGCAGTGCAGAAAAATCCAGCCCTGACACCCAAAGTGTGCGAAATGCTGAAGAGGAGGAAGAGAATAAAACCTGTCGGGCACCCATTCTCTTGTTTTCCATCACATGTTCCTGTGTAATCATAACCCCTGCATCAGCCCCTTGGAGGTGCTGGGTGGATCTGAGCATGACGACTGGGGGTCTCCACCTTGAATGGATTTTCATTGGGAAATCACAGAGAGAAAACAACTTGGAGAGAATGGTACCACACTGCTAGAACAACATGCGAAGACACTACAAAACCCAGGAATTATTTTCTAAAGGGCAAAAGACTTTTCCCACACATTCCCCCTCACTGGATGAACCATGGCTAACTGACAGTTTGTTCACAACACATAAACATGGAGCAAGGGATGTAGTTAGCACAACTGCCAGGCACTGACCTTCACTCTCTGGGGGTTCATCCAATGCTGGATGTCCTGCACGGTCTCGTTCACACGCAGCAGGATGGGCTCATGGCTGTGGTCCAGGCACGAGGTGGTACACTCTGCACCTGCACAAAAAACGAGATGATAAAGCTACAGGACAGAGCATGCAGCTCCTTACCCTTCCAGCATCCTTCCAGCTGAAGGACAGGATTAGGACTCGTTTTTCCTAAATTGCAATTAGCAGTCAACCGTAACTATCACATATCTTCTAGCCACACGTGAAATGCTGAGTACAACCCTGCATCTCAGCAGACTGTGGGGGTGGCAAACACACCAAGGCCTTTTTGTATGAGCTGCATATTTAGGTATTTCTCTGGGTATTAACTTCATGGAAGGGATCAAGTTTTTTTCTTTCAGATCATCAAGAAAATGTGGAGGTTTTTCTCCATTTTGACTGCTCTTTCAAGTGATGGGGATGATTAAGGTAAGGCTGCCAAACTCATCTCACCTGTGACATCACATAATCCCATCGCTTCAGTCAGATTTATGGACCTTCAGTAACAGCCCTTTAGATGTGACCAAGCCCAATGGTACTGCAGGCAAGCTATCACCTAAGTCCCATACTTGATAAGAAGAATACAGAGAGGTAATGATGGCTTTCTTCACACATAAACCTGCTTTTTCTCTGATTAACTGTCATACCCAGTGGGAATCCTGTCCTTTCTTTATTAAAACATGCTGCGATCCTCTGCAGCAATATCCCAGAGCCCTGTGGTGACACAACCATAAGCCATAGTATGTTGGACCATTACTGTTTCCCCCCTGGAAAATCACTCCTGAATGGCACAGCTGCTGCAAACATGTCATTAGGATTTCTGCACTCCCATCAGCACTGGGGGAGGAATTAATCTCTGCACTGGTTTGGAGAGCTGAACCTTTGGCTGAACACACACCTCAGCCTGGAAGGGCAGATTAGGTGTCTGAGGAATTACCAAAGGTGTGTGGGATTCATAGTGACCACGACTGGATGCTATTATTTTCCCCACCTGCTTCTGCCTTCTCACATCCTCCCTCATGGAGGAGTCAGTGGGAGCAAGCAGACCTTGCTCAGCCAGGGAGGCCTGGGCAGCACTTGGGGTTTGTTTTGCTTTCCTAGCACATGCGACAGCAGCTCTGCAGACTGCTAGGTAAGTGGAATAAAGTTAATTTTCTATGTAGAAGCTCACATGGTGCTGTATTCCAGATTTTTGATTAAATAGCAGTGATAACACACCGATGCTTTTAGTTGCAGCAGAACAGAGTAACACACAGCCAAGGACTTTGCTGCTTCTCCTGCTAGACGAAAGGCCAGGGGTGTGCAAGAAGCTGGGGGACATAGCCAGGACAGCTGCCCCAGCCTGGTCAAAGGGTCACCCCATACCATATGGCATCAGCAACAGAACCAGGGTAAAGGAGGAGGAAGTTTGGGGGATGGAGGGGGGGGAACTGGGAATGACGGCATTTGTTTTCCCAATACATCACTACATATAACAAGCCTTGCTTTCCTGGAAGCGTCTGAACGCGTGTTTGCTGATAAGAAGTAGTGAATGGATTCCTCGTTTTGCTTATGCACATAGCTTTTGCTTTATCTATTAAGCTGTCTTTATGTCAACCCATGAGTTCTTGTATTTTTCCCTTTCTGATTCTCTTCCCCATCCCACTGGGGCAGAGCAAGGGGCTGTGTGGTGCTGAGCTGCCTGTGGGGTTAAACCCCATCAAAATCCCAACAACCTGCTCCCAAAAGGTGATGCAGGACAAAACTAACAAAGCGTGTGGTATGTCTCCATCTGCTGAGGATAAGAGCCAACGGCCGCTGTGCCCTCTGAGAGCTGCTCTTCACATCTCCATGAGGATCCCACCCACCTCCTGACCTCCAGGAGGGCTGCAGGGCCACAGGACAAGGGCCACCAGACTCCACATCAAGGCACAGCACTGGTGGCCAAGCCAGCGGGGCTGGTGGAGGATGGAAGGCAGCTGTGGGTCCTCCTGCTCCCAGCCCCCAGCCGCTCCCCCCCTCCAGTCCAGAAATCCAAATTTCTCTCTTTGCAAAACCCTGGTAGGTAACCTCATCTCAAGGGTAAAACACCTCGCCACATTAAGAGCTGCCGCAGCCCGCTCACCGCCGCGCTATTTACACTTACGGAGAGGAGCGGGTCTGAATTGTTTTGATATACGATCTGTAATTGGCATCATTACAGAGCGATGATCTCATCCAGGTCGTGTTCTCCTCCCGGGGGAGGGAACACAAGGCAGCTCATGGTCCCTCGCGCGGCTGAGATATAATGAGGGAGCTGCAAAATGAGGAAATTTCTCCAAGTTCAAAGGGACGGGCAGGGGCGGGGGGGGGGCTGGTGTGGGGCTGCAGAAGGGGCCTCGCGGGGCTGCTCCCCTTGCAACCCAGGCAGCAGGGGTTGAAAGTATAATACTGGGTATTTTCAGCATGGAATGTATGTCTGGGTGACACAAAGTCAAGTTCAAAACATCCCCCAAAGCTCCAAACTCCTTGCAGAGTGACCCCAGAAGGACGGGGCTAACATCCTCACATGGGCTTCTGAACGACAGCCATACCAAAGGGGCTGGTCTCATTCCCTCTGCAGAGCTGAATGCTCCTGCTGCTGTGTTTCCCTGCCAGTACACTGCTTTTTGGCATCAAAGGTGTGTGTGTGTGTGCAGTTCAGGGACATTACAAAACTGTCAGAGAAAGTGGAGGTAAAACCTCTTCCCTTACTCTGAGGACTGGATGTGTCTCTGGTGCAGCCTGGCTTGCTGGTCAAGAAGGGACATGATGAAACTGGGAATGCTGAAGGAGCAGGAAGGAAGTCAGCACATTACATGATACCTGGCAGCCCAAAGCATCTTCCCAAAGCAGCTTCCTGCCCTCAGCAGCCTCTCACTCAGGTAAATGGCTCCATAACATAAAGTGACCCCAAAGACTGCAGACTCCTCCCTCCCTCCCATCCTCTTCCTCGCTCCCCATGTCCACAGACCTATGCCGTATCCACCGGAGCACTGCAGCTTCAGGTGGCTGTTGAGCTGCGTGGGCAGAGCACACTGGCCCTGCATCTCCCTGCAGAGATGAAAGGAGCCGCTCCAGGTGCCATCCTTCCGGCAGTGAATCACGTTGCTTCCACGGCCCTGGGAAAGAGACAAGGAGATAATAGGGACGGTAACAAAAACAACAGCAAGGACAGCAGGCGCAGGGTGAGAGGGGAGAAGCGGGCAGAGCTGAGCTGGGAGCAAAGTTCTGGAGCTGGCAGAGCCCCGGGTGGGACCGCCAGTTCTGGGGGGCAAGGAAGGACTTCTCTGCTGAATAATAAATAAAAAGAAGGCTGAGTTGCACACAAAAGCACACACACGCCTCCTCTATGCAATGTTATGTCTTTACAAGGTCTTTGCAAGGTCTCTACATTAAAATGGATCCACTCTAGCTGCAAAAAAGGTGTGTTCACCCCATCTGTCCTCTTTCCTCTTGCTGAAAGGTTCGTGTTGACTGCAGACAACCTTTTCCCTCTTCTATTTTCTAACTAGTTGCATCATATTTGTCTCGAAAAAGAAAGAATCCCCAGTGGCCATCTGAAGGAGGAAGGGAAGCGGGACACGAGAGGGATGCTTAGCAGGGCAGAACGTGCTCTTTAGAGCTTGGCTGCCTTGAATGACAGCAAGCAAAGAGGCAGAGACAGACATGCACAGAGGCAAGTGTAAAGGAGAAACAAATCCTCTGGTGTGGGAATGGGCAAGGAATGGAATATGACATTTCTCTTATAGAAAAGATTCTCTGTACAATACTGGAGAATGAATACCAAAGTCCAGGGAGAAATATCATGCCCTTTAGAAACAACAAAGCAATGCACAGGCAATCTTTTGCTGGATCTATCCACATGGCATTGGGGATTTCTGCACAAGCTGTTGTTCTGCAGGAGCTGTGAGTCTCACTGCCACAGGGCAGTGGGGACATTCAACGGGAAGGTGCTGGGGTTGGGCTCCAAGCCTCCCACAGTGACCCTGCTCAGTGCAAGAACCAGACAGGATCTCTGCTTCTCCTTGCATTGTTGCCTTCAGCCTACTCACCCAGCTCTTGGAGACCAGGGTGGATATCTTTGGGGATGCTGTAGCGTGCTCTGTATAGTGGGATCCAAATTCCACCAGGGATGCTGAATTTGCCTTTGGAGCTTTTCCCTGCATCCCATGCCCCTTGTTGCACAGGGTTCTGCATAAGTCCCTTGTATAGACATGGGAAATTGCACTGCATTCGGTGTTAGCCTTTTGCATGATACCCTAATGCTTTTTTTGCTCAGCTTCGTTAATGAAAACAATGTTTAGTGAGATGCAAAGTGGTCTCATTGGCAGACTACTGCATGGGAGCTGCATTCCCTTCTCTAGACATCTGGCCATTGCCAGATGTAATAAGAAAATCTTATGAAAGCATAATGGAGCAGATGGACTCAGGATGTGATCCAGTTTAGTGACTCCCACCTAAAGGCCAGTCTTGCAGAGTGCAATTAATTCAGATCTCACCACTGATTTGTGCAATGTGCAGAAAAGGAAGACCCTGTCTCTGGGTGTCGGGGGAGGTACCTGCTTAAATGACCATTACACTGCTGGTGATTAAGAGATGCCATCTGTAGAGCTGAGTAATGATCTTTCAGCACAGTGACGAATTCAGGAAGAGACGACTAAGTGATAATTGAGCACAATTTGCTGTTTTAGCAAGTGTGTTGCACTTCCACCACAGTTTGCATGCCAGGGTTCAATTGTGATTTCTAAAGGTGAGCCATGAAACCTGATTTATGTTCCTAGAGTTGGCTGTGCTCTAGAGTACTATTGTGTAGTTTCTGCTATACGCTCAGAGATCCCAGGATATCCATTGCTATAGTAACATCCTGTCCATCATTCCCTGACCTGCAAAATCTCTTGTGAAAATCCCTGCTGGGTTTCTTGCTTGGATGCAATGTGCATTATCACCTTATATAGCTGAGAGAGACTTAGTGGGGTTTAATCCTTAAATAATTAACACCTCTCAAGTGGTTCTGGCTTGTGCCAGGAGTCCTCCCTCATCTTCTGTTGTCTGTTTTCTAGGATATCTGGAAATACCTTTCTCTGCAAATCCCTTTCTTAGGATGTTATCTGCTTCTTTGCTCAAGGTACTTTTGCATCCAAGCAGTCACTACAATCCTCCTTACACTGAACAGAGATGTAGCTGTATCTCTCATTTTCCACAGCTCATTTGTTGATGTAACCCTAACTCCAATCCTGCCTCTCCTCACGTCTAGCTCCTACCAAAGCAACCAGAAGGCCCTCATACCATTTGTTAGTGACCTGGTGCAGTCAGTCTGAGAAAGCAGAGATGCACAAAGGTGCTGCATCAAGCACTTGATCCCTCCAAGATCAGAGTCCTCAAGGATCATAAGATAAAAACTCACTTTTATGGTCTGAGATGGTGAGGATAAGAAAGACTCACCGACTGACTGTCATCATCATCCCACTTAAATTGCACACACCTGTACATTTCCCATGTCTCAAAAATTCACAGCAGCCAAACCAAACTTCTTTAGGGTGCTCTGATGCACAACCCTAGGCTCTGCCTCTCATCCCCATGAAGTGGGCAGGACAGCTTTCGCAGGGAACAAATGCAGTTTTCCAGCCTCAGAAACCTTACTGCTGTTTCTGTTGTAGCTTTTAATGTTTGGAACAGGTGTCAGAGTTGGGTTTTGGATCACTGACATCATAGCAGGGCTGATCCCTTTTTCATACATCCTCAGGAGTGATATTACAAGGCTTTTGACAGAGCACTGTGCTGTCTGCAGTGCATATAAGAACAGCAGCTTCTACATCCCCGCTTTCTCTTCCCCAGCATATGAAGTGCCAGCAGCACTTCTGGGAGAAATTACTTATTTCACAACTATAATTAACTCTGGTGAGGAAAACCAAGCATTTCAAACACAATATTAAAAGCCAGACCTTCTTTATCAATGAACAAAGTTCCTAGGTAATCAAAGCAACGTGCTGATTTATGCCAGATGAAGATCTGACCCTAATGATTAATGACACCTTGCAGCCAAAATAACCCATGGAAGGTTAGACAGTTCACCTGTACAGTGATAATCCCTATAAAACATCATATGACATGCACATAACAGTATCAGGAAAAAGAACTGGAGAGAAAAGCAAAGTAAAATAGAATGAACAAACAGGATGAGTGCACACACCTCATACCCGTTCATTATTACTTCTTTCCTCCTGTGTTAATGTAATACCAGAAACCATATTTGATTACACCTACCTACATCATAGAGCCACTAGAGCAGATTTTCCAACCAATTACTCGTCCAGCCACTCATTTCTTGCTACTCCCCTATTGTTAACAGTTAATAAATACCATTACTACAGTCTTAAAAATATTTCCAGGCTCTCTGAAGTAGCTCCCCTCTTCTACTTTAATTACATATTTCCCTTTTCCATCTCTCTGCCTCTGGTCTCAAGTGATCTCAAGGGAGGTTTAGCACTTGATCCCTCCAAGATCAGAGTCCTCAAGGACCATAAGATAAAAACTCACTTTTATGGTCTGAAATAGTGAGGATAAGAAAGACTCACCGACTGACTGTCATCATCTTCACACTTGATCCTGCACTCGCTGTTGAACTGGAAGCCATTGGAGCACTGGTAGAGCCCATGGAACTTGGAAGGCGGAGGGTCACACGTAACAGGCACACAAGCACCTGGCAGCCATGTGCCATCCTGAGTGCACTGGATCTTAAAGGCCCGCCTTCCCATGCAGAAAAAAACACAAGACCATTTAGTGAGCAGCTGAGTCAGCTAAGAGCCTTTAGAGCTTCTGAGTTCTGCTAGCAGGTGCAGGGGATGAGAGTGCTTGAGCTTTTAACACCTGGGGAACAAATTGTGAATCTGCGTCATGAGGTCTCTGAGTGAAAATAATGATTATTTGCAAAGCCAACACTCAGCCTGAAGTCCTCTTTTGGCCTTGAACATATCTCCCAAAAAACTGCTTCCCGGCTTTGTGGGCTGTGGTTGGTTTGAAGTGGGTTTGTGCCAAGTCAGAAGGACACAAGAGTACAACTCTTTCCCATACAGTTTCAAAGGGGACTCCCCAGTCTGCATATCAAAGAGTATCTCTAAGGTAAGGTCTGCCTTTGAGCACTGGCAAAGATTTACAGAATGAGGTGCCAAATGCCCCCTTGAAATTACACAACTATCTTCATGTAGGAAGTATTCAGTGGTGTTCCCTACAGCACCCTGCTATAAATTACTCATCTTTTTTTCTCAAAATCTTTTTGACCTGTGGCTGTCTGAATCATGCTGACTGTGTGGCATTACTATTTTACGTACTTTCTCGCTTTTCTGGAGGATCCAGGGACATGGTAACCTGGTTTGCATTTGTACTTGCAAAATGAGCCCACTTTGTGCTTATCTTCCAGGCAACGAGTAGTCTGAAGATCTGCATTAGGGACGATGGAGGGTGCTCGACACATCAGTTCACACAGAGCCTCTGGAAAGGACCACAGCCCATCCTCCATGCAGGTCAAGTTGCTGTTGTTCCCTGAGAAGGACAAAAAGCAAAGTTAACAACGATCAGCAGGAGTGTTTTTATTTCCCAAACGTCATTATACCCGTAATATATCAACAGCCACCTCAGTTGGCTCGGCACACTCAACTGTCCTATGCATCTTTTCTTTCTACATGATGGTTTTAAATCATTAAGGACTCTGTTTTCAGGAGACAACAGGCAGACAGTGCTTACTGCAGGAAATGCTATAGTGTAGGTGAAACCTCACTGGCTTTGTATTTCTCTTCCTTATTTTGCTCTCCGAAAGAAAGCCTGCTTTGTACATCAGCTCCCTCCTCCCCAAAGCCACGGAGCTACCCACCTCAAGGCAGTGTTCAGTGCCATTACATTCCTCATTCTTCTGGGTTCTACCCATGCACTGAATCAGTTCTTTTTGTTTCAATTTTGAGCCTTTTGGAGTAGCATCTGTTTGTTAGCATTACAGTCACTACTCCAACACATTGAGGAGCCATTTTCAGCTGAGGACTCTCAGTCCTTGGGGACTACTGTGATAAATATGATTCATAATACTCATTAGAGACTTGTTTTCCTTAGGAAGCTTTCCTGGCCAGCACCTCACAGGTAAAGGGTATGATAGATATCCTTGCCTCTGCTGTGACCTACTTGACTTCAGAAGGTTAAGCTAAGAGTAGCTTTGTCTCGGTGCACTTCACATTCTTTGTTATTTTATACTCTGTGTTAAAAAGGAATAAGCTTTTCCTAAGAAACAAAACACAGCTATGAGCCACTAACCCTTCAAAAATCCCTAATACTCTATTGAAATCCTTGAGCACTGCTGCAGGAACTCTTCTCAACCCACAAGGCGTATTTTCAGCAGTCAGCCAACTTTGGTGTTATCCAAAATAATACCGACAAACTGCAAACCCCAGAGCAATGAGAGGAAAGGAAGAGAGCCTGGGCATGATGCTGGAATTCAAAGAAGAAAACAAAAGGCTCTGGAGGGCTCAGGAAGTTATGTGGAGGAGCCCTCCTGCCCTTTCCACAAAGATAAGAGAAGTTTCATTAAATCAGCCCTGGCTTTCTCTCTCCCCTCCTCAGCTGCAGATGATTGCAGAGGTATTTTGAACAGAAGAAAGCTCTTTTCTGGAGCACGAGCATGCTCCTCTGACTCATGCAGCAGCTCTGCAGACCAGTCATGGTGATATCATACTACCACTGCAATGTGATAAGCTGTGACATTACCGACGGTGCTGTCATGACGTCAGTGATTGAATTAGGCATGAGTCATTTGAACGCCGTTCTCCAGAAGTTTAGTGGCAATATCTATTAGTCATCACCGATGGCTGTACACCAAGTGGTGCCATTAACTTACAACTCACAGAGTGTCTGCACAAAAGTGAAGTGATGCTAAAACCCACAGCTGTACTCCCTGACCCATGGTGGGTTATGGGTCCTGCAGCTACCCCTGCCAGAGTCACCAGCTCCTGCTGGTCATGACTTCTACTCGTTGATGTTCAGCCACTTGGATGCTTGGGGTAATTTTACATTCCCCCAAGTTCATTAACATCAGTTCATTTAGTGGAAGGTTTCTGTGCCCATGGCAGGGGGGGTTGGAATGAGATGATCTTTAAGATCCCTTCCAACCCAAACCACTGTACGATTCTATGATTCATGAACATTGTTTTCATGCACTCCCTCAAAAAAACTCCTAGGATTTTCAGTTAAAAAAAACCTCCTTGGTGAAAATGATCCTCTGAGTATGTGAATGGAAAAAGGGAATTCGTTGATAAAAATCCCCCCCTCGAGCCTTAGCTTTCACTGTGGGATGGCTTCTTGCGGTTACCTTCCCAAGTCTGAGTTAAAAGAATTGAGTAATTTGGTTATGTATAAAGAAATCAACAAACATATCCTTTCACTGAAACGTGGAATACTTCACATGCCTCTTCTGGAATGTGCAGTGAATCCTAGCAGAGGAGGTGACACCAAGTGTACAAAAAGAGCTTATACAGCAATTGTACCTGAGTCAACAACGGCAGTTAAGATTACTTCAGTGCAAGGTGACATGTTTATTTGACTTTAATGTTCTTTCAAATTAACAGTGATAAATTTTCTTGTTTCCTGAGGACCAGATCAGAAAGGTGAACTGACAGTGAGCAAAAGAGTGCATGGTGCTGAACAGGATTTGGATGCCACCAGCAAAACAGCAGGGAAGATGGGGAGAAAAAGAGAGAATGCAGCAGAGAATGTTATTTTTAAGAATGAGGACTTGCAGAGTTTCTCAAACATGAAGAAAAGAGAAAGTCAGAATTAGAGCAAGACGAATGAGCAAAATAGAGAAGTGATGGGTGGACCAGAAAAAACAACGATGGTAGACTGTGCCACTGGGACGTGGAACTTTTCAGTCTTCTCCCTCCTTTCCAAGCACGTGGAGGAGGTATAGAAGGGATACAGGCACAGAAAAAAATAAAAAAGGCATGGGAAAAGATGAGAGTTCAATTTGATTGATCCCCATGACTTTTCTGTGTTTTGGTTGTATGGAAATAATATTTAGCATCGTTCCTGCCCGGCCAGCCACGATCAAGCAAAGGTCAAAGGAAGGTAACAGAGAGATGCAAAGGAACTTAGCTTCTAATATAAATAAACCTTCCCTAGACTCATAATTCTTCATACTTAAAATATCATAAGGAATTCTAAAAAAGCAGCGAAAGTAACATATATTACTGGCATCAGTCTGTACTAGCTGTGCAGCTATTCCCCAGCTCAGTACCCCTGTTACCTTTTAGAAGAGCAGGAGGTCGGCACGTGAAGGAGCATTTCTTGCCAAAGGTGGTCCCCTCACTGCAGTTGAATGTGGCTGGGTAGACATGGTATTGGTCTGGGACACCACAGTCCACGGGCTCACAGGTCACCTGCTTGCTCCACTTCCCATCCGTGCAGGTCATGGTGGTGCTGGACTCCATCTGGAAGAAGACACACAACTTCAGCCACCACAGCCAGCAAAGGAGAGACAAAGGCTGTTTAAAGCCTAGTAACAACCATTGATTTTGTGTCTCACAACTAAAGTAAAAGAAAGTCACTGGAGTGCCTCGGGACACCAGGGCCATGCACACTTGTTGGATAGACTCTTGCTGTAGGATTTTGCAATGGACAGATCCAAGAGCATCCTGCCTGTATGTTTACTTGGCAGAAACTCTCAACAAGAGAGGTTGAATAGAGTTAGTTACTGTGCTCTGACTTCCCTAAAGCCACAGCAATGTCAATAGCTACATCAAGGCTACACTTCTATGGATTTGAGGAATAACCCAACAACACAGCGGACCAAAAATCCTGAGAACAGAATAAACAACACATCTGCCTCCTAACCAAGAAGGGAAAATGGTCACAGATTAGATGCGATGATTTTGAAAGCACAACTCTTCCCCCCATACCAGAATAAAGAGAGGGATGGGAGAAAGAGAAATGTGAGAAACACAAACACGAGATACTGTGGAAGGGGAAGATACCAGCAAGGAATCTGACCAAGCCGTACAGCAGCACTCCTTTGTCCCTGGGGAATATTTTATTCAGGCTGGTACGCTCGCAGGAGATTTGCACCGCCAGCCATTGATCTGGCTTTATAAAAGGAAGGGAAATTTTTCTAGCACACATCAAAGAGACCCGGATTCCCTTTTTGCAAAAACACCCTAATGGTTTCAGCAGAAGTTCAGACCTGTCTCTCTTTGATATATGGTTGCATTCAGAATGGAAAAAGCAGTCCCAGAGCTGAGAAACTGGACACTTCCCAAGTGGGCACAAAACCCCTTTTCTAGACCATGCAGTTTATTTAAACAGGGAGCACCGCTGATAGAAAAAAAATGCCTTTTCTACACATTTAGAGTAGCACATTTGGGGATTCTTGGAATGCTCAGGTGAAATGACACTCTGTTCTCATTCCAGTCATTTCGCTCCCCAGTGGCTCTTAATTCTTTATTGTCCAGTGGATTGTTTGCACTATTTTATATATATATATATATATATTCTGTAGCTAGATGATGACTTGAAGATGTCTGTGTTTTCAGGAGGTTGCTGTGTAATTCTGACAGCCACAGGAGAAGGGATGACAGCATATTCCCATGTCTTCATATTGCACGTGCGTAGCAGCAGCACCACATTTGTGCTCCAGGCTGGGCAGCTCCAGGACACAGCAAAGCCTGCATCCCCCTTAGCAGATGCTGTTATCGAGTTGTGCTCCAGCACTGTGGCTGCAGGGCACCTCAACTGCAGGAGGTTAAAGCATAAACCCAAGGGGCTATCCAAACATAAAGGAAAAGACATGGGTCTGGGACTGTATTCTGCTGGATGCTCTACACTGAGCACAGGGGAGCTCTATCAACGATGGAGCTTCCACTCCAAGAATTCATTGCTTAGTCTTGGTTTGATGATCTAGTTTGACAATAAAAGATTGCTCCTTCTAGCTGATACCTGCTGTGGAAACACAATGTGGGGCACAAGGGAGTTTCTCCAATGACAGAACTGCATATCAGATGCTGCTCTACAGAACACCAAATAAAGAGTTCAAATTACAGAATATAATACAAAAATGGAAACAGATGCAATATCTATGCACAACAGTTACACCTTACAAAAAACGGGCAAGAATGTTTTGTCCAAGCTAGCACTTGTGAGGGCATGGTCTTTGTTAGCTGAAGGCTGCAGGACATGACAGCCTTTTGGAAACGCAGCATCCCTGGGGCCACCCTACCTTGGAAGTGATCTCCTGCTACAGCTATACCTCACTGTGCTTTATTTCTGCCTTCTAGAACTCAGGTCAGTCTTCTTCACGTTTTCAACTCTGGCATTTTCTCCATGGTATTTTTCCAACAAAACTACTAATCAGTCTGTAAGAGTCACCTCCTTGCAGACCCATATGCCTTTTCCTCTTCCTGGCACACTGGCATGGCCATTCCCATGCAGAGAAGCAGAGCCCACGTGGGTAGGATCCGTACTTCTCATCTTTTTCCAATGATTTATTCCACACTTTATATGATGGAAGCTGATGGTCAGATGTAATACTGAAATATTTTAAAGCACGTCTATCACTAAGCAGCATAACTTTAAGTGATAGGAGTGCATGCATGTAGCAGGACATAACAGAGCCAGCTTCCCACCACGCAGCAGGATGATGGCTTTAAGTGCAGAGGACAACGCTACCGCAGAAAGCATTGCAGATGGCACCCACTGGCTTACAGCTTCTCCTTCCCAAATGTGCCACCGGAGGGTGGGATCACTGCAGCATCTGGCTGCAGGACCTCAGAAGGAAACACCTCGGGGTATTTGCATACAGCACAGCCCCAGCACTGCTGCCCTGGGATCCGGCATCGGGTCTTTGTGGCAGCATCTGCTCCTGCCTTTGCAGATCTCCCACCTGACGCCTGAGCAGGCATGTGCCTGTTTCGCCTGTCTGCTCTGACAAGGTCACCCTGCACACAGCAGCCCACGCAAAGCACTCGGTTTTCTCATCTGGTTTATTAGCTGTCACTTTGGGCACTTTGTGCTGCTTTGACTGGCATCGCAGCAACCGCTTCCCTTCACGTCCTGCCTTCCAAAAGAGGTTTAGGCAAGGAGGGAGGGCAGGAGAGGAGAAAAGAAGAAGAAGAAGAAAAAAATACAGATTGAAATGCAGTGGAGAGGATGCAAATTTAAACAAATCTAGTGTCAGAAAGATTTGTTTCTTGGGACTTTTAAGAGCTTGGGAGAATTCATGTCTCCTTCCTGCTGCCCGAGATCCCAGCTGGCTCCTTCTTCAAGCGATGCTTCACGTGTGAAGTTTCCTCTCCTTAAAAATGAACAGCTGTGCCCTCCCCTCTAAGTATTCTTCCACTTCTGCCCACTACTGTGCCTCTAATTGAACCCACATGAGCCTTGCTTTCTTTTCCTGGCATGATTGATGATGCCTTTGCACAACATTAGGGAGCTGCTGGGTTTTAAATAACACCTCTTGACCAGAGCAGCAGTGGTGGTAGCTTCAAGGAGAGATGACAACAAGGAACTGAATGAGCGGGGCTTTCAGTGAAGGACAAGGGGGAGGAAGGCAGTGAAAGACAAAGGGGGAAGTGGGAGAGAGAAGAAGAAAGAGCAATGGAGTTGTCAGGGGGGTGGGAGGACATTGGGGGAAAATGAAAACATCCCAGGATCTTCTTTGTGAAAAAGATACGTGATGGCTTTGCCTCCATCAGTGTGGCAGCCCATTTTGTTGTTGAAATCCCTAAATGAAGATGAGAAAGAGCCTCAGAGAAAGAAAACAGCTCAGGTTTTGTTTTGTTTCATTTTAACAGCAGCAAATGGTTTCTGCCGGGCATGGGGCTGATGCTTTTAGGGTTTGGTGATTTTATGGAGTTTTACAGGGTTTGGGAACAGGAACTTCTCAGAGAGCAAAGATGAATGAAGTTTCTTCCCCAAGCTTTTTTAAAATGGTGGCTTCAAGAAGACACAGAGGCCAGAAAGTGCAGGAACTGTTAGGATGATTTTCAAAAAACCTTTAGATGTAAAAGATTGATTTGAAATGTGACTTGTGCCCTTCCATCTCCAAGGTGCTTTTGAAAACTTTGCTTTTAATTCTCTGTTCATCTTTTTTTTTTTAAAAAAAAAAATTTTCCCTGCTTTTCAGTGAATTACAGAAGATGGATGTGGTTCAGATGCTAAACCAGGGTGTCCTCACTTGTGTGTCAGTCATCATCAGCATGCTGCAGTCATAGGCCACCAATGTTTGGATTGCTCTTTGAGGCACTGAACCTCTCTTTTGTCTCCTTCCCACTCAAGAATGAAGAATCTACATGTATAAAACTCCTTTCCTTCCTCCTCCTCGTGCAGCCCTCCACAGTGTCACTTAAGCAGGGAAAACACAGCTCTTGTCCCACCAATCAGTCTAACCAGGACACACACCCAACTGAATGACAACAGTGAAAGAACCACCAGCTTTATGGAAAAGCATGAAGTCCCAAGAGCAGAGATAACAAGCCACGTATCCCATCTCATCTCCAACTGCTTGTGATCAGAAGAAGAACCAAAGCTGGGAAAGATTTGTGGCAGGAGCACCATGCAATTCAATACAACACAATACGAGGAGTCCAAACCACAGATTCTGGAGTTGCTCTGATAGTTCATTTCTTGCATGCACGTTCCACAAATTCTGGCTTGAAACACCTTACAGAAAGAAATAAAACAAGATGATGGGGAAAGAAACTGTCTGTTCCTATTCAACAGATCTCTGAAGCACATGCATATACTTGCAAAGCATGTGCTGATAGAGATGTCCCTGCTCAGCAGAGCACTAAGATGCTTCACTCCATCCCTGCACAGCACAGAGCAAACAAATCCATAGGGCTCTCAGATTGTATCAGTGGTAAAAAGACAAAAAGTGCAATAGTAGAGCAGAGTGAGAGGAAGGATGTTGTAATAGGCAGTGAATCACATTAGCTAAGGGTGCTAAAAGCCTCCACTCCTGTCATATGAATCTGATCAAGGCTCCAAAACCAAACTTCTCAGAGCAAAACCATATACAGTTGGCTGAGCCTCCCCAAAAGGTACTTTTTGCATTTAAATAACGCAGCACTGGTGAAACATGTTTAGGCTGTTTTATTTGGTTTTGGATTCCTGTGTGCTCAATGTACAGATCATTTCCAACTATTTCCTGGTTCAGCCATTCAGGCTCGTTTGAGAACTTGTTTTCTGTTCTGTAAAACTGCTCAGCTGGAGCTGGGGTTCTGGTGCTGATGCCAATTAGGATGGAAGAGGCCCAGCTCACGGGGTCCTGTATTTGTTTTGTAATTGAGTTGAAAGGGCTGACTCATTCCCCTCCTCTCTGTCTCCCCTCTCTGGGAGCTCATGAAGAACACGATAGTTCACAAATACAGACAGGCTGCCTAGAGCAGCTGCCTGCCCCCAGCCCCAGATGTGTGTGCTGTCCCACAACAGGCAGGAAGGTGCCAATGGAGGCCACCACCACCCCATCATCACAAGACCTCTGCTTCACGCACACGTCCACATACCATACGTACATTTTGCCCACCTCCCCAAATAACACATTTGTGCATTTTCCCAGTGCTTAAGGAAACTGGCAGTTCTTCTGAATGCCCCATGCTCTGCACTGGGCCATGCTGCATTTGTGAGATTGGATTACTACAGGAGAACAGCAAATGAAACCCAAACCACTAGGGTGAGTTTTCTATGCTTTGGTTGGAAGCAAAAAGGCTTACATGCTTCCCACTCCCTGATATGCATTTCAGTGTGCTGGGAAGCAGGTGGACTGAGATGCTGCAAAGGAGTTAAGATATTTAAGACTAGGAACGAAAGGAGAAATTTTGCTTAGAAACTGGTAAAAAACAAACATCCCACTCCCCTCCAAAAAACAACCCCAGAAACTCCATTTGGTTGAGTGAGATCAGAGAATGCCTATGCACACAATTAAACATTTTGGGTGGAAAAATCATAGAATCATAGAATGGCCTGGGTTGAAAAGGACCATAATGATCATCTAGTTTCAACTCCCTAAAATCTCTAAAATTGGGCAACATCTGAGATTTGCTCACTGTCATAACCTCTTCATGCAGTCAGATGGCTCCTGCTTGGAGAAAAACTATTTGGAAAAGCTCCTGTCCCAAAGCTGAGCTGAGATTTTGGGTTATTTCTCAACTTCTCCACACCCATTTGCTCATCCATCTTTTGTGGGTCACACAAAACCAGCAGCACAAACCTGGCTCTTGCTGAGATCGTCATCTCTCTGGACTTGCAGAATGTAGCCCGTCCTGCAGCTCACGTTGCACTGGGCTCCGTTGTACCACCCACCCCCGGTGCAGTTCAGCAAGGCGTTGTCAATCTCCAGCTTCTGGCAGTCTGTGGCTTCGCAGGAGTAATGGACACAGCTGTGGGGAGACAAGAAGTGGCATTTGCATTCAGTTCCTTTAGTTCATTCCAAAAAAAGCAAGCTTGTGTGCCAGGCTGCAGGGACACGATTGCAAGCCGGACCCACTCAGCAAAGCACTCCTGAGCAACCAGCACAGCCCTTTAGCTGCATCTTCTGAAGGACTGGAGTAGTGGGAACAGTGATGACAACGAGAGCAAATTACGGGTCTTGTGGCAAAAGGGAAGAGCCTGCCAAGTCTGCAGAACGGCTTTCTGTTCTGCAACACCCTCAGAGAGAAACAACACAAACAACAGCACCACAGCCTTCCTGTGCTGTACCAACATGCATCTGTACATCCCAAGTGAGCAATCCCCTCCAAGAGCAGTGCTTGTGCCCCATCCGAGCTACAGTCTCTGCTGAATTCAGGAGTGCCTGATACTGCCAGTGATAAGTGTGCATGTGTGTACGTGTGAGGAAAGGTTTCTCTTATCTCTGCGAAACTCGATAGCAATCAACACATCCACTTTATTCCACTTCACGCGGAACACCAAATATCAGTCGTGTAGCTGTGTTGATAAGCTCTTATCAAGCTCAGCAGCGTGCTGTCATTTCAGATCTCTCTGGTTGCTGTCCTGCCATCCATAAAATGTTTCCCCAGATGGAAACTCACCGCTCTCCCTGCAGTGAGTTATTCTAACATTCAGCATAACTTGTAAAAAGAGCATTTTGTTTTATTCCTGTATACACAGAGATGTCTGGCAGACATCAGATCTTTAACCATTTCTGATGACCTGAGTCAAGCATTTTAGCATATCATGAAATGGAGTGTGGGACAGTCCCTCAGCTGCAGGGCAATGAAAGTATTGAGAATCCTAAGGCACATGCAAAGATGTCCTGCATGGGTGAAGAACCCAAAACACCAGAAGTTGCAGAAGGAAGTAATGCATCACCACCCATCTTTTGAAACTGATTACAAGCCAGATATTCCTATCTCCTAGAAAACAGGTTAAGAGCCACCAAAAAGCCATCCACCTCACTAAGCACAGGACTTAGCATGTCCATGATGTTTTGCTGTGTTCAAAGCACCGTGCAGACATTATCTAATTAATTTTCATGACACCCCTGTGAGACACCTGGGCTGGTGTTGTTATGCCCACATTCGCGGTGGAGAAGCACATTTGCACATGTCTCTGCTGAGTTCTGTGCCAGGTGAAATGACAGCATTATGCACCTCCACAGCTCATTTCTCTGTCCCAGACTAGTGCTATATGAGAGCTTGCTGCCTGTAATTTAACGTTGTTCAGTGGCAGCCCTTCCCTGCAGTGTGATGGGCTATACACAATTCCTACATTCAAACAGATCTTATTTTCTCATCCTGCACAATGTACTGACATCAATGGGGCTGAGGAAGAAGAATTCTGCCTCTGCACTGGCCAACTCAGTACCCTCATACACAACACATAGCATGTGGTCTGCCAGCAGTATGACTGATAAGTGGTGCTCATCACAGAGCACGATGACCCTGCCTTCAGTGTGATCCCTCTCTACCAAGGGCTTCATGCACGTTTTCCAGTCACTGCAACTCACTGCCTGACCTACAAATTTAAACTGCCACTGATTTCACTTTTCACTGATGAGTAAGGCTGGGCATGAGATGGGGGAAGAACAACTGGTTGGTACATCCTAAAGCCCAGGTAGCCTCCTCCTGCAGGGAAACAAGGTGAGATTAGACAATGCCCAGTATGAATCAAATGCCCAATACAAATCAGCCAGGAGCGTGAACTGCAGCATGTGAGGCTGCCTAGGGCAGCTGGGTAGCCACCAGTTGAATACAACACCAGTTAATCAGAAGAATGCCTGAACACGGATGCTCAGAGAGCGTAACCGATGAATGATGCCTCACTGAATCCTCATTGCATGTCCCAGCTCACCTACACGTGAAATCTAAGCATTATTTCATTCCCCTCCATTTTTCAGACAGTGAAGCTGCCATATGAGTTCCTTCCATGCCAAGACTGCAGAGACAAGGAAGTTGACTCATTGAGGAAAAAAAACGAACACCGCCGCCAAGCCATTCTCAGAAGCACAACACTGCAAACCTTCATGCCCATTGCAAAACATGCAAAATCTGAAAACATTTCTGCACATAACTTGGAGAAATAAAATAACATTTCATATTTCATATAATGTCTCATGTTAACCAATGTTCAATCCACCGATGTAGAACTGAATTCAGGCTTGAATGGCTTCCAAAGGAAGGATGAGCCTAAGAAAACTTTTGCAATTTGCACAAAGAGAAACCTGGAGAAATGTGAAGCAACACAAAAAAGGGCATTGCTTTTCATTTCCTTCAATGTAAAGGAGAGAAAGAATCTAATTTCTTGAGTTCAGATCAGGACACCAGATGAGCAAGCCTGGGCTTGAAAGTCCTACAGAACTGAAACGCCACAGACAAAGGCATTAAGAAACACTTATTGTGATGTTCTTCTTTCTGTTTACAAGTCCCCTTGTGGTCTTCTTAACTGGCCAGGGAACATTTTTAGCCACCCCCCCCAGGCTCCAGATTATGCCTTGGTTAGCAGATCATCTGGGCAGCTCTCTCTGTCTGTAACTCTATATGAATGACTTCAGTGACAAACAATACAACCATTCACTTTTTGTAAAAAAACAACCACTGCCACCAAATGTTTCTAATTTAAATATTTCTGGTTCTCTAGCTACTGGTTCCAATTTGGTATCAGCTACTGTCAGCCATAAATCCCAATGAATTTTGAAGTCACGATCTTGAATTGAGTTCTGCAAATGTGGAATAAAGGAGAAATGAATATCTGCAAGTAGGAAATTTAGACAAAGAACCCATCACATCCGTATTACAGAACTGTGGGTTACAGAAGCTCTTGCTTGGGTACTGCCATTTAACAGTGGTTAATCATCACATGTTCCAGAAACTGTGTATTACTCTGGAAAGGAACAATATAGAGAATCTAAGCATTAAATCACTTCTACTATAACTGATGTTGCTTCCTGGCATGGGACAGCTCAACCCCTTTTCTTGCAATCCCAACTGGGTGACTTCATCAACACTGCCTATTCCAAGTCATCGCTGGTCTATCCTGACTCCCCAGATGCATCTGGGAACTGCTTGCAAAAGTACTGGACAAAAGCCAGGAAAGTGACCCAAAGACCACTCAACATTCCAATATAAATAAGTATCAAGCATTGGTGCCTGAGTTATTCTCTGAAGTCGTGTATTTTATGAGATCCACCTCATGATTCACCTGTTCCTGTTCTTGCTCTAAGAACGTACAACTTCCTAAAACAACATTTTTGCACCAAGCTGAGTGCAAGAATTTTTTGCAGTATCCGCTGCCCGCAGTATGTTAGAAACACAGATCAAGACAAACCATTTCAGTGATGTAAAAAGCCCTGAGCTGTGTCAGTTTCACATGCAAGCTGAAGTTCTAAGCCAGTTCTTACTTTACTCAAATCCATTCTGCCCATCCCTAATCTAAATGAGCTCAGTCATTAGCCTCTAAATCTTTATTTCTCTGTGCCAATATTGGCCCCAGTTCAGCAAGGCACTTAAATATGTGCTTAACTTCAAAAGCATGGTTAAGTCCCACTGATAGATTTGACTACAGGGGGATGTAAGCAAATAGCTGGAGGCTTTGCTAAATTGGGGTCTCGGTGACACAATCCTAGAAACATTTGTATTTTAACATGTTTATAGAAAATTGTAACAGTTAAGTGGAACTCTTCCTTCCCCACACAAAAACAAACCAGCACTTCCTCCTTCGAAAAGCTTACAGCAGCCAAATGTTTTTTTCCTTAACCCTGGGGTCAAGCACTTTTCCAAAAACTCATCTTAACACAGTGCCCTAATTATCTGCTTCCTTAGCGACAGCTTTGACACATATATACGCATAGGTGAGCATAAAGGAACACAGCACACACTTGTGTGCGAGAAAACTGCAACCATCATCCAATTCACCAAGTCCCTGTTCCTCAGCCCAGGCCAACCTAGGCTGCAGACATGCAGCATCCTGAGGTTCTGTTCTGTAGCACCACACACACATCTCACACCATGATGAGGCCTTCTGAGGGTGTTTCTGGAGAGATTTGTCGTTATAGTAAGTTTGTCTTCTCTCTCTGTAGAGATCCCTCTGAAGACAAGAGTAAGTTCTCTCTCTAATCCAAAGATAGATGTGCCATTTGGAGAAGCAAAGGCTGCCTTCACATTCTTTACTGTAGCTTCAGAAGTGAAAAAGGTACGAACTGCAAGGGTGGCAATGAGCTTATCTTCTTTGGATTTCCAAAAAAAACCCCAAATTGATCTCCTTGTATGAACACAAAAACTCAAAGAAATCTACCTGAATCCTGGAGCAAGGTGGGGACTGGTGAGCGTGTGCTGATGGTGCCATTGGAAGAGTGATGCAGCCCTGTTTGCATCACATCTGGACCGTGAGAGTGACCAACAGTGCAGACACCCCAGTCACGATCCCCTCAGCAATCTCACTGCAGTGCCGCTGAGCCCGACCCCAACAGCAATCCCAACAAACCCCTGGATGCAAACAGGTGGGGCCAGGAATGCACACCAACACTGAGATTTACTGAAAACACTCAATCCAGCCCCAGGTGAGATGTGGGGGAGCAGAGGCAGGGCATGCCCGTCCCCACAGTTGATGGGGCAATGGCCCCAGGGAGGGCTCAGTGCACCCCATATTGTGAGCTGTGCTGCTCAGGGGCCCTATGGAGCCCATAATACACTCAGGGCCCCACACACTGGGGCAGGTCTGGGTGCCTGTGTGCTCACAGCCCCGCCAGTTCTCCGCAAACAAAGAAATGGCATCGCGTTCCACTTTAATAAAAGCCAAATGATGCCGTCTGCCAATTACCAAAATGGGGCGAAGGTTAAAAACCCACTGAATTATAACACATGTCACGGACCAAAGCTCCTATGATTAACAGTTCTGTGAGAAATTCATTAATTTCACCAGAACCAAGCTGACAGAGATTGTGCTTAATGACAGAACACAGGGCAGGGGGAAGGGGCAGGGGAGAGGCGGCCCACACAGTACACAGAAAGCTGCATTAAATAACAAAAACAGAGATGAGGAGACCTGTTCTTTTGGTACAAAAAGGAAAAAAATAACTACAGTTATAAAGGGCAATTGCGTTTGCTACACTACTGAAGATTTCATTTCTTGCTGGAGGAGCTGACAGCAGAAGAGAACAAGACAAAGCAAAGGGGATGGAGTGGGCTCCTGCTCCCTGGGGACCAGGTGGGATGAAGGGGAAATGCTGCTCAGGAGAAGCAGCACTTGGCAGGGAATGCCTTGCCAGGCATGGGCAACCCCTGCTCTTGTTTCCTACACGGTGACAAAGTCCTGACTGCTGAGGAACCACCACCAAAGGCAGCCCCAATGCACAGATTTCCATGGTGCTCAAATGACCACGTTGGGGGGAACGATACGACCGCTTCTACTCATCCCATTTCACTGTCACAGAATCATAGAGTCATTAAAGTTGGAAAGGACCACTAAGACCATCTAGTCCAACCATCAATCCATCACTACCATGCCCGCTGACCTCCTCCACAAGGCTGAACAGGAAATAATACAATTTGAGCTGTATAAGTACGAAACCAGTGCCAGAGAACTAACTGGCCGCCATATCTGGTCTGAGGACGCAATGTGAAAATAAAGCTCATTGCTTTCACAGCCCATCTCCAGCAGTTGGGTAAACTGCTGAAAGAAAAAGAGCTTGTGGTCAGCTGTGGCAGAAAACACAACGACAACTGGAAAAACACAACTGGAAAGTACAGAGAATTTTCTTAAATCCTCTATAAATGTCTTCAGAAGGATGGAATGGATTTTCAAAAAGAGCTACCGATAGCTAAGGACAGCTACCTATAAAGTTGGTTGGGATTTTCACATTTAAGCTCCTTCTTCTCTTTTAAAATACAAACTGTAATGCATATTTTGAGGGGGAAAAAAAGAGCATGTGTTTTATTATCGTTTATTAGGTTGCCCCTGACTCATGGGAAAGATCCATTCACCCTCATAATAAAAATGGTGCTCACATTTAAGGGTCGATATATTTCTTTTCCTTCACATATTTAAAGTCTGCACCCTTGCCTAGAAGTGCCTGTATCTGCCTATAAATCCTCTCCAACCAAAATAATTCTCCTTGAAGAGAGAGAAATAATATCTCTTGTAGAGAGAAGCCAAAAAGCAGGCAAAAATATCCATGTTTACCTAAGGAAAATGAAAGCGTGAAGTCAATGCTTGTGCATAAGAAGGAAAAGTTCCTTTAAAAAATAACTAAATAAAAAGAAATTATATCAGGCAAGCACAACCAGTGGGGAAAGGGTAGCACGAAGTGTGGGCTGCATGGGATCATGCTCAGATGGGGTCTGGCAAAGAACATGAATGGTAAAAGGGGAGTACCCAGCTCCTAACCTGGTTGAGATGAATACAAGAAGTCCCTCTCTATGTTCTTACTGGGGAAAACAATGAAGCAGAAAGAGAGCAAAGGGCAGTGATGCTCACCTGCCTCTTGGCTGCACAGCTCAACACACAACATCTTGGAACTGCTTAGAGCTCATGGTACAGAAGACAGCATACATCGTCACCCCAAACAATCCCACCACAGGGCCAGATGGACCCCTTCCATCACAGCACTGCAGGCAGTGGAAAAAAACCCACTGATTTCAACTGGCTTTGGATCAGGGCTCTCTTTCAGTCTCTGGTTCCACGACTGATATGGGCAGCTCCAAGTCCAACCCAGCACTGCAACCTGCAAGACCTGCAACGTTCCCCTGAACAAGAAGGGCTGTGGCTGATGTGTAAGAGAGCAAAGGACTGGGATGATGCGCTGCAATGGCAACACAAAACACTACCAAAAATTCAAGGAGAAGGGAAAAAAAAAAAAAAAAGCAGCAAAGAGAGGGTGATCCTTCTTCAGGAGATTTCTGAAGGCTGCGTTGCTGTGCTGCAGAGCCCTCTGAAGCTTTGCCTAAGGGGAAAGCATTTTTTAATAAGGAAATAACTTTCTAAACACAGAGCACTTCTAATTTCGTAAGTGAACAAACAGTTCAGTCCCCACTGCAAAATGAGAGGGAGGAATGTGGTCCTGTGCAGGAGCCCCCGTGTACTCCCTGTGCTTTGCACCATCACCTTCCATGGGTCCTTTCTCTCTTTTTCTGTCCCTCCTGCATTGGGCTTTGGCCAAACGTGCACAAACTGCACTTCTCATCTGCAACTCGGTGCTGCTGTCTTTGGGCCTCTCCATTTACACAACCTATTGCACGGAACGATCGGGCTCCTTGAATCTAGGTCAGAACACACTGACTGGATTGATTTAGCTATAGATATACTCTTTTTTTTTTTTTTTTTCCTTTATTATTATTTTCCTTTCCCTCTCCCCTTTCTCACCCTCCCCCCTTTCCTGGAATCAAAGCAGCTCCTAAAAGCACGCCAGAACATTATCAAAAACCTGACAGCCTGCTTAGGAGGCTGAGCAGAGCTTTGCTGGGATGTGCGACTTGTTTTACTATTGCTGCCGCTATGCTATGACGACCGCTCACAACTTGGAATTCACAGCAGGAAAAAAAAAATGATTCTTTCAGGGGTTTTGCTAAATTCTCCCCTCTTCTTTTCACCGCTTCGCTGAAAGGCTCCGCAAAGCTGCCGCACCAGAGGCCACCAAAGGTCAGCATCTCTGTGGGATGCTGTAAAGCAGAGACCGAGAGGGGTTGGTGGTGATCTATTGATGTGTCTGCAATAACAACAAGAATAAAACGGCAGCCATAAACCTTTCATCCTGGGGGGTCCCACTGAGCTTTTCAGAACGCGGGAAGGATCCGGAGAGGTGCGGAGGGCACTGCTGCAGCCGTGGGAGCACCGCAAGGCTGGGAGCGCGGGGCTGAGCACCAGGCAGGATGCAGGGCATCACTTTGTGCCCGCACGGATGCTTCCATGGGAGGTCCCCCCAGCACTTCAGCAGCACAAAGCCGGCCAGATCCGGGCCGACGTGTGAGCGGCTGCAAGCGGGGGGATGCACGGGGTGTTAACTGGCCCCAATTCCAAGCTTAGGATAAAGGAGGGAGGAGAAAGGAAGAGGAAATAATTCACTAGCGGTATCCTATACGGGTTAAATGTCCCATCCATCCTGCTCAATAAGAACAGCGCCAGTTTCTCAGCGGCAGCACAAAGGGGTCAGCAGGGTTCAGGTCGGTGCCCCCTGCCCTCCCTCGCCCGGTGTGGGGCGGTGGGTGGGGGTGAGGGCGCGGGCCGGCGGCTCACCTCTGCTCTGCTGGGCTGTACGTCTGTCCTCGCTGGCAGCTGCTGACGGTGATGGGGTCGAAGTTGTGGAAGGAACGCAGGGCCACCCCGGAGATGGCCACAAACTGGGAGCTGAAGCTAATGAGGACAGCCTGGGTGTGATAAAAAGGGTGACTGAGGTCATGGATGACGGGGATAATCAGGGGATTGTTCCTGCAGCTCAGGACGTGGACACCTGCCAGAGGAGAGACAAGATCAGAGGAAGGGTCAGATCGAGCACAATCACTTCCCGAAGCCGTGAGCACTTCAGAAGCATTTCACCCATAGGAATGGCCCTATAGAGCTGAAAAGTTATGGTAAGCTGCCTGGAGGGGCTTCCCAAATCGCTCCGGAGAGCTTAGCACAGAAGTATATCCCTGCAGACAGCTGAAGAAAGGCTGCCATTCTCTCCGCGAGCGCGGCAGACTCTCTTTAGACCACAGCCACATTTCTATTGTGCTCTATTAAATCAGGAGCAACCATCACGGAGGAAGCGGAGTTGAGCTATTGTGAAACCAGTCGGAGGGGACAGTTGGAGCCTTTATCCCAAGCATCAAATAGGACCGGCAGGCTGGGTGGCTTTGTGCGCCATGGGCAGTGCACCAGTGGCTTGTTTGTAGCTGTGCATGTCATTAGCACCCAACATAAAACTTTTCCTTTTTTTTTTTTTTTTGTTTTGCATGACTTGTATGCCAAGTGTGCACAGTTTTGCTTTTCATTAATGGTTTTCAGCCTTGGGATATCTCGTTCTTTCCTAAAAAGGGCAAAGATGGTCCTGAAAACAGAAGCGAGGGTGATGGACCCTCCGAGGATTTCACAGGTGAGAAGAATTGCATCTCAAGAAAATAAAAGCATCTCAAGAGGTTGAGGTGCTCAGCAGCACCAAAGAGGTGCTGAGGAGACTTTTCAGTCCCATTTCTCCAGCAGAGCAGGTGCTCGGTGGCCATCGGGATGAAATCCCCACCAGCCAGCAGAGCCCAACCTGACTTCCCCTAGGCCCAATGCACCCGGGGGCAGCTGAGAGGACAGACAGCCGCCTCCTGTCCTCAGCACCCCTTCCTCCAGGCTCAGGCTGGGTGGCTGACAGCAAAGCCCTGCCCCGGCAGCTCCGTGGCACCGCTCCGAGGATCCGCTTGGCTTCGGCTCCGCTCACATTGCTGGAGCTCCCCCAGCAACGGCTTTGGCCCAGGCCCTTTGGCTACCCTGATACGCTCCCGACTTTGAAATAAAACAAATCCTATTTGCATGTTTAACTGGCTCAGGGATCACTATTATTATTATTATTATTATTATTTTTTTTTTTTTTCCAGTTCAGGTTTCTTGGTTCAAAAGGGGAGGAATTTAAAAAAAAAAAAAAAAAAAAAAGTTTTCATTTTTTTCTCCTTAGAAAGTGATTTCCTGTGAATTAAGACAGACTGCTGACCACTCTCTTTAAACATCTCCTACCCTCTACTTTAAAACAATCTTCCTGTAATAAAAATAAAAAATAATAATAATAAAAAAAAAAAAGCCAACCTCTCATTGTTTTGGTCTTTATCTGACCCTGAAATAACCCCCCTGTCTACTTGCCTCCCACAAGTCTTTTGATATCAGCTCCTTGTGGAACGGTGCATGTTTCTCACTTACAAACAGGTGCAGTTAATACTTGAAATCCTGAGTTCCCAAATTCCTTGGAAGTTTCTGCCTTCTCTGATGGAAAGCCAAAAAAGACCTTATGGTATGAGGCTGTTTATTCACTTCAGTTTCATTCCTTGCACTCAGGTGGCGTCCACAACAAACCAGACCTCAGAGCTGTGCTGCAGTTGCTGGTGCTTTCTGATCCCAACAACTCAAACAGAGGCTTAACAAGTCACGTTCATTTAATCAAAATGACTTCATCAGCAAAAAAAAAAAATCACTCAGGACAGCACAGGAGCCCATGGCAGGGGAGTAAGAGCTGTCCATGTTTGCCCCCATAGCTCTGTGCCCACCTATCGAGCCCTCAGTGCCTCTTGTAATGCACCCCAGTATCTACAAATGCTCTGAATTAACAATGCTGGTGTTGTTTGGCATCCCAGCCTCTCCATCTCCTACCAAAGCTCAAAAGAAGTTTCTCATTATTTTCTGGGAGTCCACATGGAAAAAACCTCATTCTGGTCAGGGAGGAAACAGCACTTCTGGATACACTGCGCTTTGCTCGTGGGTGTGAGTTTTAGTGCACTGAGGACTGACCAAGCTTTAGAACGCTGCTTCTACTTTCTGGCTGTACTTGTCATCTGCCACTGCTTAGGGCTGGCCAACTGTCCACAGTCAGTCCTGCATCCAGTGCATGCCAAAGTTTGAATCTCAGCTGCAGCTTCCAGCTTGCTGCCGTGATAATTCAAAAATATCAAATGAAACATAGGGGAAAAGGGCTTCGTGCTGCATTGAGACCTCAGTGAAAGCAGCAATAGGAGCTCTGCCTGAGTGAGAAGTACTGGGTAACCTACCTACACCTCTCCCCTGCTCCAGGAGAGCCTCCCTGAGACGGTCAGAGGGGCTCTTCCATGATGAAGGGAGCATCTCAGCCAGGGAGATCTGCAGGCATCGGCTTAACCCATGCCAAAGCCATGTTGCAACTTCATCCAGGATTTCATAACCTCACCCTCAGTTTCCTCTTTGCTCCTCTTTCTTGTTCTCTTTCTCTCATAATCTGTCTCTTTACAGAATATTGCATTAAGTATTTGTTGGCACGCTTGTGTCTCCATCATTTATTTCTCAGAGGGAAAGAGCTATGTGCCACTGTTTTGCAAATGGAGGATAAAAACCAATCCAGGGCTCTGACCAACTGGGAGCTTTTCTGACTCAACCTGCACAATTGCTCTGAATTTCTCTTTGTTCTCTGACAAGAGACACCACACACACTGCCTTTCTTTTGTTCTACATCCCACCAACATTACATGTTACATTGGACAGTCATCCAACCCCTTTCACTTGTGCGTGTCCCTTCTTCTTGGAGTTTGAGCTTGTTGAAACCACAAAATTCTGGTCACACAGAAAGCTGGGGGAGGGGGCTGCATTTCCTTAAAGCTTTCAAGATGGCATTGTCAGCTTTCTTCCCAGTGCATAAAAGGGCAAAGAAAAGGGTTGGAAAAGAACTTCACAAGCCCTACCCTGCCCACAGAGCTGGAAGCTAGGGAGAGCTCCCTGGTCCTCAAGCTCAAATGCACATGTAATCAGTGCACAAGACACAACTTTCCCAGGTATTTGTGCTCGAAGTAGAGGTACAAATGGTCAATCCAGGGACTTCACCATGACTAGCAGGTCCGTAGCTTCTGCCAGGCACAGGCTTGAGGCAATGCATCTCTCATCCAGCCCACGTGGGCCCCGTTTGACCTTCATCAAACCTGGCACATTTTGGCCTAGATGAACTGATGTTTCTCATGAAGAGGTTGTTACCCCAGAAAGAAAAGAATCTGTATGAGTAATAAAGCTTTCTCATTGTAAGGCATCAAAGCATCTTGATGATGATTTTCTTACGCTGGACAATGGCACCAGCAAATGGCCCTCACACAGCTGGCTCAGCAGCCATCCCTGGATCCCCTCCAGAGCTTATGGGAGGCATTACAATGAAGCTTTAGAAGATGCAGTTTCCAGACCATTAAACAGCTGTGGAAACCTCCCTGCGAGCAGGGCTAGATGCAGCCTCTTTTGACTGGGCAATCCAACCAACTACACCTTGTGAAACAGAAGCATTTGCTGCTCCAGCTGCCACAGAATGGGGTTAATGTCTCTCTCTCTGCTACCAGCAATTCATCTGTATCACTGTAAATGTCCCTCCGGGGGGGTTCTCTGCATGAAGCACTAACGTGATCTTATTCTAATGACTAAATGGGAACTAAACTCTTCTGAAAATGGAGAAGAAGTATGGAGAAATGTCTGGGCAAAACATTCCATTGCTTTCAACACACTCCAGTCAAACTCAGGTCTTGGAACATTAATAAGCAAGTGTTCTTTCTGTCTGATCTTGAAAAAACTAAGTAGGAGTACAGGTCATAATTTGTGAATGGAGCTACCATTACGCTAGCAATAAAGAGGGTCTTAAATTCAATACAATCTCACCGAGATCGTGGCTTTGCTCTTTGGTGTCAAAAAGCTGCACACCAATGGTCTCCTGCTTCTGATCCAGGTAATAGGTCCCATCAGTTACCAAGTGGACAAGGACTGCTGCAGCCACCATCGGCGTGGAAAAGTAAGCCTGGGAAAACAAAAGCCCCACATGGGTTTAGATGGAGAAAAGTGCAGATGTGCTGTACTTGAAAAAAATACAAAGAGCCAGTGCTGAACTTTTAAAGATCAATTCTCATTCCAGGTCACGGAGACGTCTTCTCTTCCAATCTCTCCTACACAAACGAGCTTAAACTTGAGTTAAAAAGCCCTGCAGCTGGAGCTGCAACCTCTAAGAAACTCCCGAGACCTGCCACAGGAATGGACTTCACCACTGACTCCCTTGATGGTGTTCAGAGACTTTGTTTTGCCATTTCCCACTAAACGTACTTCAAAGAAAGTTGCTGCTTGGCCCTGGGAAGGCAGTCCCATGCTATTTTGTCTACTGGAGTAACTTCATACAAGCAGGCAAAGAGATGTGTGTTGTTCACAAGTCTTACTTCTTACCTTTAGCCAGAAAATGGTCTGTGCCATGTGGGAGTACTGGAAGTTGGCAGTGCAGGGATACCAGGCATACTGGGAAACACCATCGTTCAAGTCAATCACCTTCGTGCGACACGTCTGAGGGAGAAAAAGAAACATCCAAACAGATGTAGGTGTCAGCAGGAAAGGACTGTGACTATTTAAAGCAGGGGGAAAAAGTCCAGGTGCACTGCTAGGATAAAATAATACACACCAGTGACATTTCTAAATACCACGAGATTATTCAAAAGTTAAGTTTCCAGGTCTTCCACCTCAATGAGAAAAACCCGAAACATAAAAAGGAGCAAAAGACTCACAGCAGCCGGATGGCAGCCAACAGTTCCCTCTTAATTTGGTACAACAAGGGCCTTGACAGCATGCAGCCCAGCTCTGCTCCCACCCAAACAGACCGCAGCTCTTCCCTCTGGACTCGAAGTGACGACCGCTTCTGAACATGCCAACTCCAAGCACAGACAGTCTGCAGATGCTCTCCACAGTACTCAAGCAATGTCCTATTTAAACCTGCATGTTGCTGTAACCCCAGGGAAGCCGCAGATGGCCATATAAACTTGGAAAGAGGCATAGCCAGGAAAGTCCTGTCTGTACAACCCAATTTCAGCAAACTCGTTTCTCTTTTTGTTAACTAGTTTCTGTAATTTGAATCATCTTCTTATATCTACAGTACTTTCCATGGCAGGCAGCAATGGGATTATTATTCCTCTTTTCAGTGAAGAACGAGTAGATGAATCCCAAATGCTGGCACAGATGAAAAGCCCAAATGAGAGAATGCCTGAATTTAAGTACCACAGACTTGCAGTGCCATCAGTAGAAACAAAGCTGCAAGAAATGGTAGGATTCACCCTGAAACCACACAATGCAGTGATACTGCTTGGAAAAAAAAGAAAAAAAAAAAAAAAAAAAGGAACATGCATGACCACTGCCTTCAAACAGCCTTCATTCCCAAAGGAAGAACAAGAAAGGAAAGATGCACAATCCAAAAGGCAACAGCTGCGCTCCAGGACTGCTTTCATCAGAAGAGTACCTGCTAACATCCACATCACTTGGGTAACTGATGGGGAGGGAGGCAGTTCCTCGTGGCCATGCAGTGTGCTGGCAGCGGAGCTGTGAGTGCAACCCGGGGGGCCCAAGCAGCCTGGTGGGTGTGCAACGTGGGGAGCCTGGGGCACAGGCACTTGCATCAGGTGCTAAGTGAAGCCATGTACTTTGGGGGACATTATGAGATTTCTTTCCAAGGCTGGAGAATTAACTGAGCAACCTGATGGTGACGTGCTGTCATTACAGCCGTTCCCATAAGCAATTTTCCTGATTATTCAAACAAAATGAAAACCTTGAAGTATAATGAGGGTATTAATGGAGGTGCTTTTAATCTTTCAAAGTCCTGTGCCTGCTTGGTAGCTGTGTGAGACCTCTTGGTCTCAACAGGCAAAGTCAGTGCAATACAAAGAGAGCCTGGGATGCCTGGGAACGAGAAACCAGATTGGCCAAGAGTGAGGTAATCACTTCTATAATCTGAGTCCCTCAAGATCCAGCACAGAGGAATCTATGGGCAAAACATAAATCAGCTTTAATGGGCTGGAAGAAGATTTTTAGTTTATTTATTTTTTAAAACAACTGTGACCAAGCTTCATTGAGGCTAGCCAGTGGATAGTGTTACATTTTACAGCAGAGCAAGGCTTTACATAAACTATCTTTGGCATTTGAAATCCAGGCCAGCAATTCGACATGTACCATTTCACAATTCTCCCTTCTTGCATTTTCAGCAGCCTGTCTCTTGTTGGGAGCGTGGTTTTTATTTTAATACCTCTCCAGCTAGGGAATTTATCTTACCCACATCTGCAATTTATACGGTCAGAGAGCTCTTTGACATGAACAAAGGTCTCATTACTTTTATGTGATTTTGTTGTTATATCTCCTCCAGCTCTACTGCTCCAAAAAGGTGGTTGAAACAAACAAGATTCCTGACGTTCAGTGTGTTTTAAGTGCCACTTGATGGATGAGTGAAAACCTGTATTAAAAACTCACCCGGACCCTCACCAAAAGTTTGAATCAAACCCAAAATAAACCCCTGCTGAGGTGGATTGGAAATCTCTGATAACTTCTAAATGCCTTGTTTGATTTGTGTGCGTGTGTGTGAACTCCAGCACTCTCTGGTTCTGCCTGAGACTATCAGCAAAAACCTGAACATAAAGAGCCTGCGTTGGAGGCTGTGCAGCCTTGGGAGAGTGCTCTGATTCCAGCAGGTTCGACAGGCTCCTTCCTGCTGATCCATTGCTCCTCGTCAAGGGATTCAAAACAACTAAAATGTTCTTCCACGAGAAGAGTATGATTGGCAAGCATGGGGAATGTCTAGCAGACGTGATATTAGGAGCAACTTCGAGAGCCTCTCTTACACCAGCTGCTATCCAGCAAGTCCACCTGGTGCTAACATGTTCCTGGAGATTTTTAATAACAACCTGATTAGATAAATGGTTCCAATAGCCTACTCATGGCAAACGTATCCCCTTTTCAATTCTAACAAGCAACCGAGCGTCATCGAACACTGGCAAAGTCAGAACCACTTGCTCAGACAGCCCTTCACACCTCTGCCTCCAGGGCATCCCTAGAAGATGTCAGCAGCGTGAAGGCATCCATTACTGCCATGCCATCACTCCTAAGCCACAGTTGAGCAGTGCCGGACAGCTGCATGCAGGGAGAAGAAAACACACAAGAAAGGAGCACTAGGAGACAAAGAGATTAGAAAATAGCATCTCAGTCCATTTCAATGGCCTGGAAGACAGCATCACTTCTCCTCATGGCTACAAATTCAGGCTTAGGAGAAATAAATTATTTTCTAACATCCTCCTGTTTGCTACAATGATGAAAAACAGCAGTTAAAGCACCTGACAGCTGCGGAGGGAAGGAGGGATAGATGTACTTTTCATTTCAGGGTGTTACCACACACTGAAGTATTTGCTTTGAAGAATGACGGAATCAGGCAAGACTCAAAACTTCACTCACTGGGGCTTATCCAGGTTCTCAGCCCCACACAGCAATGAGAACCTTAGGAGTCCAGCCTCTGTTCCAAAGTATTTGGGGACTATTTGTGTCTACTTACTGGAAGCCCATGCCATACCCCTCCCTAGAAAGCTGCTTTCAATTAAAAAAGTTTATGTCTGTTCCTTTCAGAGGTTCTAATCCAGCTCGTCTCCCACCCACACACTTTGTACACAAACATCGAAAGACAGAATGAGCGTGGCCAGAGAGCACTGTGGGATCTTCTCACAAGAGGGAATGCCTGGAGGATTCCCTTTGACTGATTTACACAGCCCCCTGTCAATCACAGGGACAGCATGTTCTTCAAACCGCCTCTCCTGTTTTCCTTCTCTCACTCAAGGGGACCAAAGAATGTGTCAGCAGGAAGGGAAAAGCGATATATCAGGAGTGCTCAGTTCATTGCCACATCTAAAAAACATTTAGCATTGCAACCAGCTTCATTTCCTCATAACATTTTTTCCCCTCCAGGTAATGTGGGAAAATTGAAGACCAAATTTTGGAAGGCAGCCTTGTGAATGTTGGCCCAGCCATCTCATGAGTAACAGGTAGATTGCAGACAGCACTGCAGGATGTTCCACTGTAAGCCCACACCGTGACCAGAGCAATGGTGCCTGCCTTCGGCCTCACAGGTTCAAGGTTGGAAAAGACCTCTAAGATGACCAAGTCCAACCCCAACCCACTCTCCCCATGCCCACTGACCTGTCACTCAGTGCCACATCTCCCACCTCCGAGGACAATGACTCCACCTCTTCCATGGACAGACTGCTCAAGACCACTCTTTTGGAGAAGAAATTTTTCCTAATATCCAACCTGAACTTCCTCTGGCACAACTTAAGGCCTCTCATTGCATTGCTGGCTATGTTCTGTTGGAGGGATCTATTGCCAGCACACCACAAGTTAAGGACCATAATTCCTGAGGGCTGGGCACATGGTCCTGGGCTTCTCCAGCCCACACTGGTAAGGTGAGAATGATACTTGATGCCCCACATCACAGAGGTCTGCTGAGTGTAAATGCCATCTCCATCTCTGGAGGCATTTAGGGCCAGATCGGATGGGGCCCTGAGCAGCCTGACCTAGTAGCTGGCAACCCCACTCATGGCAGAGGGTTGGAACTAGATCATCTTTAAGGTCTACACCACCATAAGCCATGCTGTGATTCTATGATAACCACAAAAAAGGCACTCAGATGTTATGAAGGGATGCACACATGTGAAGGAGATGCCTCGCACAGGAGTGGGTTAAACATGCATCAACGACATCCAGCCCTGTCCTTCCCATTGAGCAAGCACAGCCCGACACCGCAGGCTTTGCAGACACTGGTAGTTCTCAACTCTCACGTCGTTGTATCAAAATAATCCTAAATGCAGACAGGCAAAAAACTGCTCTTCAAAGTGGGACGCTGCCCTGCTCAGCGCTGGCAACCGCGGTGGGAGCGGACGTGCCTGTCTGCGTGCCCGCAGGCGCCTAACACAGCAAATCTGTCTGTTCCCCAAACCCATCTGTTCCCCATGGCAGGGCTTTCTCCAGACCGTGCCTGTGGGCTACGTACGGCTGGGAACGGCCATCACAAGTGTTTGTCCATCAGACTGCAAAGGGGTGACGATGCTATCACGCCCCAAACACCACACCGCCGCCTCTCCCTCCCCATTCCTGTTGCCACTTCTGCACTGAGACAATGCCGTGGGTTTGTCCCATTTGCAAAATTGTGACCCCAAAACAAACAGGAGGAGGATCCACTGATAAAACCCGCAGTAGCACCTATTGTGGAGCACAGAATGTCCCAAGTGAGGCTATACAAGCACATGGAAACACTCACACACCGATAGGAGATCTGCGGAGGCACAAACAGGACATTCTGTTTGAAGATCCAGCTGAAGAACAGATTTCAACTGTACTAATGAACCCTAATTAGCCTATAATTTTTAGCATTCTGCTCAGCAAAATGTTATTTATATTTAACTCAACAAATACCAGAGCATCTCAGCCATGACACATGCATCATTTTAACACATCCCTTTTAGATGAAAACCTCCTCTCTTCACTGC